CACTAACCACGCCACTGGCCATGTGGCTAGTCTCACCTTTAAGTCCGCCGGATCTGGAGCCAAAAACTTGCACCGAGTGGAGGGGTTTGTGAAGGATGCCAGGTAAATATAACTTTATGAAAGTTCGACTGAATGCTAATCCGAATTTTAATTCATCCTTAGTGAAACCAACCTATACTTCCTTTATGGCAAATGGACCGAGTTCATTAAATGCTGCTCCGCCGAGTCGTACGTCCAGTTCTTGAAGCAGGGAACCAGGAAGAACGATGACTACGATGGCTCCCCGAACGGAACTCCAAAGAAGATGTTCTCGAAATTGAATAGTTTTAAACTGAACTCATTTCGCAGCCTGTCCATTCAAGACGTAAGTGTAAGACTTTGTTGAGTTACCCACGTAGAGTATCTCAAAATTTGTTACATTTCAGAGCGATAGCTACCCACCCATGGAGCAGGAAGGCGACATCCCGAAGAGTGACTCTGCATATTCCCTCGACATTCCCGACTCTACGACCCTGTGGAGCTGTAAGCCCAGACCTTCCAACTGTAACGAGGTAGGACGTCTCCCCAGAAGCAATGAATCGCAGTCACTATATCTCCAGTTTACTCCTACATTGCAGTACTACCAGTTTACGCATTTTGCGCTGCAGCTTAACGCCATGGATAGCAACATGAAACCACCGCTAACACTATGCCCTACCGATTCGCGACTGCGACCTGATATACTACACCTAGAGGAAGGGAACTTGGATGGTGCCTCCAAGGAGAAGACTCGTCTCGAGGAGAAACAAAGGCACACACGAAAACAAAGAAAGTCCACCAATAGCGATGACTGGTCCCCCAGGTAAAAAAGTCTGATAGCATTTCTCGAGTCGATTGCTCATTGTGCTTTTACCCATTTCAGGTGGTTTAAATACGCAACTAACCCCCATACCAAAACCGATGATTGGCTTTACAGCGGGGGATATTGGGACCGCAAATACGACAACACCGATACGATATTTTAGAAACATTTTGTAGCGGGCTTACGCTTACAGTATATATATTTGTAAAAAGTTTGCGAGCTGTTTAAACGTAGGAACCATAAAAACCTGGATAATTGTAATGGTTGGCAGGCATAACATTCCAAATCCCGCCGTTTGATACCATCACGTTTATATATGACCACGTGATTGTACGATCTGGTGGGGCTGTTGACTTCAGTCAATCAAGTCGCACAAGAATCCATAATGATATTTAGTTGAACGCTTACTTTTCGTAGTCTCTATGTATGTGTATAGAAAGTTGTTAAATCGTGACGATTCCATATGAAGCTATTAAAGTGTTATTCAGTTATTTGTTGCGCTAGAGCGGAATGTAATTTATTTAATTTGACTTCGACCGATGAAAGCTAACATGCTGGATATACATCATATCCATTAAAACGCTGTGGAGTAACAATTAAATTGATTTATTCATCTACATGCTTTTCCGCCCATATCCTTAATTGTCCTTTCACAAATGTTGCTATTTACATATGACAGTATGCTCAGGTTCGATTTACACATGTACAACGGATTTAGAACTTCATTTTAGATCAAGCATCTTGGGTTTCGTGCTCACATCGTGCAGACTAACTACGTTGTAAGTGGAGACGCAGGGCTGAAGCTTGTTCTTGAATATATCGTTCTCGGATTTCGAGGAGCATATGGAACCCCCGATCTCTGGGTGGCTGGAGTCAGGTAACGAGGCCCTCAGCTCGTGGTTACTTACTGAGGTGTTTAGCTGGAACTGTTTCGCATAAAGTGTGTCCATTTTGTTGTGTTTGGCTAGAACGGCAAAGGGTTCTTTAAAACCGAAATACGCAGCAGACGAAGAAGTACTGTACCTTCATTAACGCACAACTTCTGTCCGGTCCTGTGGGATGCCAGTCTGGCCTCATCGCTGCCCCCAATCGAGGACTCCTCGATGTGGGAGAAGCTCTCCTGCGGTGAAATAGTGGACAGCACCGAAGTGCTGGAATACAGGTAGCCGGAAAAATACAGGTCCGGATTGGCCTCGTGGGCCTTGCATGGCACTATCCACGAGAAACTGAAAGCCGAGGGATTCACCTCCTGGGTGAGCCAGGGATCGGTGATTAACTGATGCATGGTGCAGCGGTACTTGGGATCCTTATTCAGCATGGAGCTCAGCAGAAGGCTCAACTGCTCGGACACCGCTTTCGGTATTTGGATCTCGGCCTTTAATGTCTCCTCCACATCGATGAATGGATTTTCGAAAAACATCAGAACGTACAGAGTCACCCCAAGGGCCCAAATCTCCAGCTCGGGACCCACGTATCTGTTGCCGGCCAGTACCTCCGGACTGCAGTACTCCGTCGTGCCGTAGAACGTGGAGAAGAATTTGCCCTCCTCCATGAAGGTCGCCGATCCGAAGTCAATCAACTTTATGGTGAAATTCTGGTCAATTATAATGTTCTCGTCCTTGATGTCGCGATGCAGTATCTTCTGTTCGTGCAGATAGTTGACGGCATCGGCCACCTGCCGAAAAATGTAGCTTCCCAGTTTTTCGTCCATCAGGGGACGTCGCTCTATGAACGTCCATAGATCCATTCCGGATCCGTGCTTTTCCATCACCAGCTGGTAGAAGAGATCGTTTTCGAACACATCCAGAACGGACACAATGTTCTTGTGGTTCAGGGTCTGCAGCAGGTGGATCTCGATAGGAACTTCCTTGCAGTCGCGGCTCTTGACCATAAACTGGGAGCAGAGCTTCTCCTTCAGAATAAACTTGGTGATCACCAGCAGGCGGTCGGTGTTCCGGAAAGCCATGTTCACATACCCATAGGCCCCCCTTCCGATCTGGCGAATGGACGTGTAGTATTTGCTGTAGTCACCCAGGTACAATTCGTCCTCGTACTTGGACACTAAGGACAGAGAATTAGGTCGGCTGGAGTTTTGGGCAGCCGTGGTCTTTATCACCTGGCCCAGCGATTGCTCAACAGTGCTGGCCATGCTGTTGAACGTGGACGTTAGGTTTGCATAGTTGTACTTTTCGCCGTCCAGCCGAGTGCTGGGGTTTCGGCACACCCAGATGCAGTACACCCGGTTGGAGCATGGCAGTATCTGGAGGAGCACGGAGTAGACTACCTCTATGACGGAGCCATCGGCGTGGATGGCCTCCCCCACAAAGCTTCCGTTAATGGAACTAAGCAGTCTGGTGGCGGGATTGCTGCAGGAGGCATCACAGGTCTCTGTGGACGCGGACTTCGCCTTATCAAGGGACGACTCATTCACGTGCGAGTGCGATCCTGTCTCAAACTCGTCGGCGGGAAAACTGTTCGAGGCATTAACAGGTGTGAGGATGTCATCTATGGTGCAGTCATCTGGCTGGCGGAGGTCGCAGTACAGCCCACTGCTGTTCTCTAGATTGCAACTCAGGTGGCCATCGCCTACCGAAGAATGTTCGTTGTTGGGTGCCGTCCGGTTAGTCGAGCTCTTCTTGCAGGACTGCAGGGAGGAGTCGTTGTCCACGACGAAGGGATCCGTGTCCGGCTCCCAGTCGTTGCTGGTTATCGAGGTGTTGGAGACATTAGGGCTCTTCTCCTCGCGGGAGTCCTTCCCGAAATTGGGTAGGATCGCGGATATATGCATGTTCATTATCTTGTCCTGGCCATATCCGAACATCAACAGTGAGAAAGGCTGGTTGCACATTAGTATGTTCCCTATGTCGTCTACCACAATCAGGCCGCTGAGATTCTGGAAAACCCAGACGGTGATGTTTAACCCGGTTTTTCCCGAGTGGGAGTACCCCGCGGAAGCATCTTCGTCCAGGGCTATTAGCAAGCACAGAGGAAACTTTACATTATCCGTGGTTCGCCCAGTAGCTCTCTGCTTCCGCAGCGTCTTAGGTATTTCACGGCTATCCGGATCGGGCAGCTTTATGAACGGGATAAGGGCGACAATGCTGACGCCAACGACGCTTTCGATGGATTCATAAAAGAATATGGTGGCGGTGGTGGAGTCTACGGAGGTTATCACTCCGGATCTATCGGTGCTGATGTGGCATATGTGCCTCTCTACTGGCTCCGCGACGGCTATATGTCTGCCATCGCTGCTGATCTGCCGGATCCAGAGCGAGACCAGGATTTTGCTGCCCGTCTTGGTCTTCATCTCGATGACCTTTCCACTTAGCAGGACCACCCGGCCCTCGTCGCCTTCGATTTGCATCTCCGCCAGGGAGGAGATGTGGCTCTCCGTCTTGCCGTTGAGCAGGTCAAAGAATCCCTTGTTCCTCAGCTCCTGGGACGTGTAGCCCAGCAGCTGACAGGCCTTGTTGTTCACTATAAAGATTTGTCCCGTGTTCGCGTCGATGGTGAATATCGCCTTGTTCGGATTGATCACCTTCGAGGAGTGCAGATTGGGGGGTGGCATGCTGAAGGAGCTGGCGTCCATCATGTTCAGCATGCCGGACGAGTTTTGGCGACTCTGGGTCTGGGTGCCCATAATAGGGTCATCTGGGAATACATGATTGGTTGTAAATAATTGAGTACCGCTCTTGAGTGTACATTAAGACAGTTTTACCATTAGCACATCGGTTTCTGGAGCACTGGGCATTCGAGCTGCTCAGCTTACCAGCGGCTTGGTCGGTCACGTCGCCCTGGTCCTCCATTTAAACGTCGGATGTTTTCCAAGTGCCAGTGGTTCCAACTTGAGGCCTACAGCTACATCCAAATGAGCGCACCGTAAACATTGGAAACTCTGTTCGTAGAAAATCGATTGAATGGCGCATGCGAAATCGGGAGTTAACCAGTTGGTCGAAAGGAATGCAGCCCCGTTTAGTTGGGCAGGCTATTGTGGGGTTTCCTTTTGTGTTGCGGTGTTCTTAAAACACTGTATCAAAATAGTTGAAAATGACAATTTGCTTTATGTGCTTTAATGCAAGCAAGTGAATTTCCGGTTGATATTTGAATGTACCGCTCATTGCTGGCCTGCAGCCCTGGCGTCGTCATCGATATAATGGCTCTGGGTATCGATTACTGCCCAGAATACACTTACATATATATAAACTGGGCCTAGCTACGTGTGGAAAAATATCGGAGAGAGCAATACAAAACGTATTGTTCTTCCCCAAACAGGAAGGCTTTTCTTCGTTTTCCAGAAAGTTTTCAGTGCAGTGCACACTCGAATAAAGCTCGAACACGGGGAAAATGCCACGTATATTCGAAGTTGCTGCTCCGGTGGGACTGCTCCTGCTTATCGGGATGTTAGGTGTGGACGGCCTTGTGAAAGAGGGGGATTACCAAAACTCCAATTACCAACAGAATCTCGAGTCGAACTCCGCAACAGGCGCAACGGCTTCCTTTCCATTCCTGATGCCCAACGTTTCTCCCCAAACCGTAAGTCCAGCTTCCAGAAGCACTATGCACCATAGATTTCGCTCCATATGGATGAACAGCTTCGGCCAGTTGTACGCATACAATCGCAATCAGATTGAAGAAGTCCCTACATACATATATGTAGATCTGGTTTTCCCCAAATCTTCCCCGCGGGGAAAACCCATAAGTGTTCTGTGCAAAAATTTCCATATGGTCAGTTATACCCGAATACACACGATTCGACACCCACATGTAAGGCCCTGAAACCGAAACCTGTAGATTGCACTTCTCGAACCTGCGCCGTAGATACGATTTGTTTTACGAGGGTGACGAAAAAGGGCAAACGGGCCATTGAAGGCTTACTTATATGTACATATTTCAATAATACTTGTTGCCTAATCCTAGAAGACTGTTCTCTCTAAAACTAAACAAAACTAACAATTATATGTATGCATATACAGCCCGATCTGTACTTGTGCACGCCAATCAAGGTCGACCCAACTACCACCTACTATATTGGTACGTCTCTACGAATGAGAGCCATCCTCTGGAAGTACTTCAACTAACGTTTCTTCCTCAAATAGTTGGCTTCAATCCCAATGCTACGATGAACACGGCCCACCATATGCTGCTCTACGGATGCGGAGAGCCCGGAACCTCGAAGACCACCTGGTGAGTTCGAAGAAATGTTTGTGGACTAGTAAATACAGGCATATTGTTGCGCACAGGAACTGTGGCGAGATGAACCGAGCTTCCGAAGAAGAGTCTGCCAGTCCTTGCGGACCCCACTCCCATTCCCAGGTATGGAAATGACCCAATGGGCCAACAGATAGGCACTACACATTTATAAGGCTGACAATTTACGCGAATGTGAGACTATAGGTCTCTATCGGCAGGCTACGCAAATGGGTTGTCCGTTCTTAATCCAGAATTCCCGGTCGCTGATCCTTTTGCGGCAGAGATGGCACTTGAAGCACTTGGCATGCCACTTGGTGCTCAGCGCAACCACGGCTCGGCGATCGATGGGCTTCTCACAGCCTGAACAGCGGGACGAAAACAGTTCCCGGAAGTGCGACTTGCAGAACAGGTATCCGTTTACTTCAAAGAAGCTCGCCGAGACTAGCGGCTTGCTGCAGCTCACGCAACGGAAACACTTTTCGTGCCACTTGCGCTCCGCAGCAATCACGCCACGCTCAAGGATCGGAATCCGGCACGCGGAGCACCGGGCGGCATGCTTGTCCAGGTAGCACTCACTGCAGACCACGTCGTCCTCCACCGCGAAGAACAGTGTAGGATCCACCACCAGGCCGCAGTCCTTGCAGGTGAAGTGGTGTGGATGGTACGTCTTGCCCGAACTGCAAACTGCTCGAGGCCAAATCTTCTCGTTGCATCTACAGCAAACCGAAGCGGACATACTTCGAGAGAGCCTTCTGATTGAAAAAATATAAATTTTAAGGGGGAAGTTTGAAAGTCACTTTCAATGGCAAAATTTGTCCTGTTGTGACAGAAGAGAACGTGGAAGCTTGTATTACTTTTGATCGTTATTATTGTGGTTTATTAATAATATTCAAAATGCGTGGATAATTCATAAGTAAATCCCTGGCAGTCAACCCAGCTTATATAGAATATTTAACCTGTTTATCGAATGTGCTTATAGTTAATTTGTATCTGCTGGACTAACACTTACTCTTAACACTCTACAGATCATATACGCTTGGGCCAGAGACGCTCAAAAGTTGAATCTGCCCGAGGGGGTGGGTTTCAAGGTGGGCAAGAACTCGCCCACCAAGTACCTGGTACTGCAAGTTCACTATGCCCACATTGACAAGTTCAAAGGTGAGTACTAGAATGCCTTCAATATCAGGAATTATTAATTAAATGTGATTTTTCCCAGATGGCTCCACTGATGATTCTGGAGTGTTCCTCGATTACTCAGAAGAGCCGTAAGTTCCTTGTTACATGTGTAAATGATTCTTAAAATAAACCAGTCCCCTCCTGGCAGTCGTAAAAAGCTGGCTGGAACTCTGCTGCTGGGCACAGACGGACAGATTCCGGCCATGAAGACGGAGCACATGGAAACGGCTTGCGAGGTGAACGAGCAGAAGGTCCTGCATCCTTTCGCGTACCGGGTGCACACCCACGGTCTGGGTAAGGTGGTTTCTGGCTACCGGGTGAGGACAAACAGCGATGGAGAACAGGAGTGGCTGCAGCTCGGCAAAAGAGATCCCCTCACGCCCCAGATGTTCTACAACATCACCAATAAGGACCCCATAATCGAGGGAGACAAGATCGCTGTGAGGTGTACTATGAAGAGTACCCGCCATCGGATAACCAAAATAGGGTAAGTAGCAGTGATTTGAATGCAGCTCGAGCAACGCTTTTAATCGAACTCTGTATCAACGACAGTCCCACGAACGAGGACGAGATGTGCAACTTCTATCTCATGTACTACGTGGATCATGGAGAGACTCTCAACATGAAATTCTGCTTCAGCCAGGGCGCCCCCTACTACTACTGGTCCAATCCCGACTCCGACCTACACAATATCCCACATATCGAGGCGAGCACCTTGTAATCCGCCTAGATCGCCTAGAGCCAGAAAATCAGCTGCGGAAAGAGAAACGAATGTATACTACCTTATTGTCGGCATTATTTTATCGTGTACAACAACTAATGATGGTTTAGCCTCATTCTGTGTCCCGTTCTGTTGGCCACCAATGATTTATGTGAAATATTTGTGCGTGTAAATAAACATATGTAGATAATTCGCGAGAACCGCTGGAGATCCTATCAAGTGAATTCGGGAACAATTAGCTGATCGCCGCAAGGTTAATCCCCATTCGAATGGGGGTTGGCGCATGGCAGGAACCAGCAAGCCCACTACGCAGTAAATGAGAGACTGCTCCGTCGTAAATATTTTCAATGCAAAGCATTTTATTCTCGCGTTTATAGAATTTTTTATTCTCGCGTATGTATATAGAATTTATGGAATATATGGTATTATCTGCATACATATACATATTTTTATATATAATTTGGTGTAAAATTATAAACGTACAATTAGATTAGTTATAAATTACACAAACTTAAATATCTCTCACATTTTATAATAACTTGCAAACTCGTACTTGCTAGTGTTAAACTCTAAATGACTACCGGTTGGCTGAGGCGGCACGTCCTCAAATGTGTAGGCTAGCAGAGCTCCGTTGTTATCGTGTGCGACGTAGTTGAGATCATTGTGTGTTTCAATTACACTTTCGGTGTAGACTTGTTGCGCGTATGTACAAGTGCTCCCGATGGCGTCCGCCTCCACGAAGCTGCCCCCGTTGAAGCCGATCTGGGGCGAATTGGAGGTGGTCAGAATGCTGCACTCGCTGTCCTCGGCGGCCGACGGGATCGTGTTGAAGTCGTCGGCCTGGAATGTGTGCCCACCGTCCGGACCGCCGTAGGGCAGCGTGCAGGTCATGGTCATGGTCACCGTCTGGGGAGGCACCACCTCAAACTCCACATGGTGCGAGGAGCTGTCCCCGCCGCAGTCCTCCGCGAAGCAGTCGTTGCTGTCAGGCACATATGGAGGTCCTTGATGGCTGGCCGAGTGCAAATTGGCGTCGTTCACAATGTTGTCTTCGGAGTCGAACACGGGCTCGATGAGCTGGTTGTCCAACAGGCTGGACTCCACCTTGAGGGTGAGCCCGTCGCTCGAGGGATTCACCTCCAGGTAGGGCAGGTACTGCATCACCTCCTGGGAGAGCTCCTCGCGGTCGATGGGGTTGATGTCGGAGATGTTGTCCATCAATCCTGCGGTGGGATCCGACTGGTTGTGTTGGCTCTGCGCCAGGGAGCTGACCCCCAGCTGCGAGTCCTCGTTGCCACCGAGGAAAAGCGGCAGGAAGCGGTGTACCACCTCCGACAGGTTCTCCCGCGGCTCCAGCGGACCCGAGCTCAGCTCTGAGTGCAGCTTCTCGTCGCAGTCGGCATTGCTGTGCGTGCTTAGAGGTAAGTAATCAGACGATTGGTAGTTTAACAAATTATCGGCTGAGGGTAGTATAATATCCGCGGAGTTGAGCTGCTCAGCAGACTCCAACTTAACTTCGTACTTAGGCTTGGAGGTATCACCCGAGTCGTTCCTCAATCGTTTCGAAGCGGAACCCGATTGACATGTAGAGGTAGATCTTTTGCTTTTCCGGCCGGCAGTGGTGGTTCCATTAATTGCAAGGGTGGTCAGTGAGTTGTTGGGCGTGTCAGTTCTGGCTTCGCAGCCGTCCGCGTCCTGGTTCGGCTTCAGCGATCCCGGGGAGCGCGTCTGCTTCTTCTGGGGCCTGTACTTGTAGTTCGGATACTCGATCATGTGCAGCTTGCGCAGCTTCTCCGCCTCGATGATGTACGGCTGCTTGTCGTCCTTGCTGAGCAGCTGCCACCGGCGGCCCAGCTCCTTGGAGATCTCCGCGTTGTGCAGGTCGGGAGTCCGCTCGCAGATCTTGCGCCGCTCCATTTGGCTCCACACCATAAAGGCGTTCATGGGTCGCTTGATATGGCCGGGAGAATGTTTCTTGGTCTGCAAAGGAAAGGAAAAGGAAAGCCGGGTTTTACAATCGCCTCAATTTAGTTTGAAACTATCAGCGGACTAGCACAGGTGGTAAGACATCTAAGATACTTACAGCTAAGCCCATAGATATTACCCTAGGCCAGACGGAAAGCGTCCAGCGCAAGGAAAGTGAGTGAGTAATATGTGCCCGTACAATATTGAATATACTTCCGGCATTTCGGAGCCCATAAATTACTGCACTCCCTTGTTTCCACAAAGTTGTGGAACAACGAAATTTGCTTCACCTTTCGGAAACCGCAAATGTATAGGCAGATACGCTCCGTTAATTCGTTCATGCGAAAAACACATTTACCTATTGTACCTGCGTATATAAATGCCGACTGCATATTAACGTATCGCAGATAAAGAGTTAGGAAACAAATTCACGCCAGAGGTGTACAATATATAGATAGACTTATTATATAGTATAGTACATCTGAGCAGTTCGGCTGTGTGCCCGACATACGTGTATGTATATACATGCACCTCGTATACCGCCTTGTCTATGGCGGTATGCATGCGTTTGTATCTGTGCGAAATACGTATCCGCAGCGTTTGAAGTTCAATGTCCCTCGCCAAGGTTAATAAAACGCTCCTAAAACGAAATATGGTTTGTGTCTGTGTGCACTTGTATTGAAATGTGTCTCTGCTCGCTGTGTGTTTCTGTTCGGCTGTTGAGATGCTCGGACAAGTGGGTCCGCTTCCTGGTAGCCCCTTCATCTGGTCCCTAATCATACCGACCACCCGACCATCCCAACCAACCCAACCATCCGATCCAGCCTGATATCATGTGATGAGTGCCCATCTGGAAACTGGGCTCGCGAGGCCAGGAAGACCGACTTGGAATAGGTCATAGCGGTGACGCGCCGCCTCGTTTGGCCAATGTGAATAACCGTTTTATTCGCGCCGCGAGAGACGGCAGAAACCACCTATTAATAGCGTTAACTTCGACCTTGCAGCAGTTCGTGCACCTCGCGAGTTCATCCACATCCGAAGCAGAGGCGATACCCTTGGCGCTCCGAGCTGAACCGAATCGCGCTGCGAAAGCTGAGCGGGCTGTGTGGAGCAGACGTGGTATTGGGGCCGACGGGATGCGATGCTCCATCGGCCATTGCCTCAGCCATTGCCACTGCCACTGCCACTGCCACTGCCACTGCCACTGCCACTTCCATTCTGTTGCCTTTGCCCTCGCAACTCTGCTCCGAACTCACTCTCAATGTCGCCGACGTCGTCAGTCAGACGGTTCAGTTCAAGTCTAATAAGCAGCCCGACTCTTGTAGACACAACACAACACACTCGCACTCACACCCTGGCCCAAAGCACACACACACACACACACACACAAACGTACACAGATACGAGGAGCAGGGAGCAGAAGGGCAGAAGTTGCAGACACCCGCATCCGTGGGACACAGATACACATGCAGCGATGTATCTATGTATGTGCGCTCGCTCTTCGGGGAACAAGTAAAAGTGATGAAATGGGGCTGGGGCTGGGGCTTTCGATTTTAACCGTTCTTACGCTTAGATCCTAAGGTCATCAGCTCGAATACTATATTAAACACGCTTTCTGCAGCGCAGATAAACATGTAGTCGCAGAAGTCAACGACTCAGTTCGTGTGCACCCGCTTCCCAGTGCCCTGTTGCCTGTTCCCAGTTCCCAGTTCCCAGTTGCCAGTTCTATATATGCGAGTAATACGCAATTGAGCGTTCTGTTCGTGACGCCAAAGGCGAAAGGCAAAGGCAAAGGCGAAGCCATTGCCTCCTCCATCCGTCCGCACTAATAACCGTAAAAAACAAACTGCTAAGCAAGGTCAATGCACCAAATGTGCTATGGCTGCTATACACATGGTGAGTCGTACTGGAATACTACGCTCATTTGCTAAATTTCGACTTTCCAGTTATGTAGATAGTGCGTTCTTGATTTCCACGCCGAGGTGGTCGGTAAACAAGATGACGGGTGACGAATAGATCGACGGGTAGATCGCCATAGGGAACTGGCGAGCTGTACCGACGAAATCATATCACCATACAGACGTATTGCTCACAAAATATTGACGGATAGTACGCCCGACCAACATATCCATCCGTACTCTGGCCCCAGATACATGTACACACATATCTACAGGCTACAGCACATACATACATACATACATATATGCAAGCTCGACAAATACTGTGAGTCATCGGGGAAGCGAAACGCGAGTACAACCGCCCCGTAAATGAAATGCACGGGGACAAAAACTGCACTTCCACGCGCTCCGCGAATGAGTCCGTGTATCTATGTATCTATGTATCTATGTATCGATGTATCCATGGTCGGGACTCATCAGCACTCAATGAGACAGTGCAGCTGGAGTAACCATCCATCAATCCTGGCTATTTCGTCATAATAAGTCAGCAGTGAGTTTAAGCTACAATTCGATTGCTAATCTGCTGGTATTTGTAAACAAAGAAAATAATCGCAAAAACTTGAATCTAATCTCGGCGCATCTTATCAGTCAAACTTTTGTTGACCCGCCCGGTCTATTTGCAAAGTATTTTGTGTGGGCTCTATAAGTAGGTCTGCCTGCCGAATATCAACTACGTTCGCCTTGCCGAGACAGCTGGGTGCGATTATCTACATAAATGGCTGCCATTAGAAGCGATAAGAAGCGCATCGCTGGCGTGATGATGACTTCACCAAATGCATCCCTGCCTGCTGGGACACAAGTTCTGCCCTGGGTCGAATTGATCTCTGGGTAAATGGTATGGTCCTACCTCCATTAGAGCTCAAAACCGTCAAGCACCTAGAACTCGATCCCAATTTCCCTCAGTGTAGACAGTGTTACTCACTCGAGTCGCATCCGAGTACGGGGTGCTGGAGTTGACAGGAACCCGTGCAGATCCGAACACCAGGCTGGAATCGATGCCGTTCATGCTCAGTGTCATTTCATGGCCGCTGTGGCTCGGAGATCTTTCGCCGTCCATTTCGGATTCGGGTGGGGGGGTGTCGAGCTGGCTGGTGCTGGAGCTGGGGCTGTAGTCGGGCCTGTAAGTGTGGCTGTGGGTGTGGGTGCTCCGGGGTTCCGGGGTCTTGGGGCTCTTCGGTGCAGCTGCAGCAACAGGCGCGGAAGGCGAAGCCACAGCCGCTGGATGAGTAATAGCTGACTGGCTTTGTGTTTTTTTTGCTTCTGGGGTTTGCGCTGGCGAAGGCGATGGCGATGGCGAAGGCGATGGCGAGAACGGTGGCAAAGTGTGGGGTGGTGAGTCCGCTTTCGGGGCTGGATTCCTTCGCTGGATGGTCGCTGGTCTGGCTGGGGTGGTTGCTGGAACCGTTGGCACTGTTCCGGGGCGCAAGCTCAATGGTGGTTCGGTGGTGGCCTGGTTGGGCTTAGCTATCATCTTTCAGTGCGTTTGGGGCCGCTGCTGCAACTGCATCCCAGTCCTGGTCTCTGTGTCTCTATCCCAGCGATGATGTCCCGATCCCCGCTGGAGCATAGTAGCCGAACCAGTGGCAGTGGGTTGCCGATAAGGCGGAGTGCTCCGGCTCTCCGGGGCTTTATCACGGAATTATGTGGTGGGCACTGTGTCTGCTCTGGGCTGTATGCACTATGTGCACTATGTGCTTATGTCCGTGGTCGCAGTAAGATCGGGCTGTTTCATTTGGCGCACACTGCTGCACATGTGCGCTGCGCGTGAGTGTGTGTGTGAGTGCGATTGTGCCTGTGAGTGTGCACTAGGTATTGCTCCTCAAGGTGAAACTGGTTCCTCGTTATTTATTTATTTTTTGCTGTTTCGCTTGTTGTTTTGTTGTTGTTGCTTTTGGTTTTGTTGTTGCTTTTGTTGTTTGCAATATTCCAAGACTCACGTTCGCTGCGTCCGTGTAATGAGCTTGCATAGGTGTGCGTGTCGCTCCCTCACTCTCGCACTTGGTAAATTTTATTAATTTATAAATGCACTGAAACTGAATTAAATAGATTGGCTCGCATTTATGTGCAGAGAGTTACACACGTATGTAACGATATGCCCGTGTGCCCGTGTGCATGTGTGTATCTGTGTGTGGTCACTACTAATACTGCTGCACTCGCGCTTTCGACTGTGTTTGTTTGCTTTGCGTTTTGATTTTGAAACACAAATGTTTTGATGTTTTGATGTTTGAGCTCCAGCTGGTTCCGAATGTTTCTCGCCAATCTCGGTGTTATCACTCGACAATAAGCGGGATCGGTTGGTTTCACATATGTATCTCAGCTCTTTGGCTGCCACGGTTTACGCACACAGGTGCGCAGACAGCGTTTCTAGCCTTGGCTAGACTTAGTTAGTTCGGATGGTTCTGCACGCCGCGCGATGAGGGACTTATTTATTATTGCTCTCCGTGTCCTGGCCAATCTACACTAAACATCGATTCGAATCCAACTGAATCCCAACCGAACTGAACTGTGAACTGAAGAAGCACCGAAAACGAAACTCTCGGCGCAACGCAACGCAGAGCAGCGCAGCACAACGAAACCGAAGCGATGAGATACGAGTTGGTTTTGGATTGGAAGTGGAATCGAAATGGACTTGCTGGAGTGGAGTGGAGTAAGTGAAGAACCGAGCGCGACGCGAGCGAATAAACTACGCAAAAGATTTTACGTTTTCACGTATTTTCTTGTACATTTGTGTATTTGTGATTTTGTTGTACTTGTTTCCTATGCAGCCCCCATGTACTGCGCTGTATGTAATTATGCATATATGCCTTGCATATACAGCATATATGGCTCCGCTCTATCAGTGTGGGTGTGTGTCTGGTGTGTGTGTGTTTGTGATTGTGATTGCTTCCCGACCAACGTCGATCGCTCACAGCTGTTCAAGTGAACTGACTGCAAAGTTTACGATTTGAGTCCCCAGCACGTAGATACAGATACATGCACCCATACCAGCGTCGGATACACGCGCTGTCGCTGTGTGCGTGCCAGAGAGCGAGAGAGTGTGTGTGTGTGTGTGTGCGGCCAGACTCGATGGGTCAGGAGCGGACTTGCGGTTAGTGCGGGCAGCGGTACAAGAGCAGCTCATGCCTTCCTTGGTTTTCATTTAACAATTTTCAAGTTATTACAATCAGCATAGGATTCAGTTCAGTTCATTCAGTTCCCTTGTATGTCAGCAATTATTCAGAGCGCCCCTGTGGCGGGCGCCACCCGCACTTCGCCCCTGCCTTTGTTGATATCAACTGTTGCAGTAGCTCTGCCAGCTGGTGTGTGAGTAACTGGACTTGCGGGGCGCTTGTGCAGGAGGGGGTCTACATCTACGCTTATGAATCAGCTGTTTCACTGTGTATTAATCATATGGCTTGATTAATCTGTACGTGTGCTTGTGCTGTGTGCACATACGAATCGTACACACGGCGAAAATAATACACATGTATTACGTACATATATATGCGTGTAATGTATGTGCGCATGCATATAAATCTGACTTCTTATTTCAGACGATTCCCGAACGCTTTTAAGTGCGGAAAATCTGAATATTATACGTAAATATCTGATATTATATGTATACCTACACATGCATACATATACATATATATTCATGCACTATGCTGCCATATACAAGATCTCGTATAATATGCAAAAATGGCGTGCAGTTAACGTAGAACACTCAAGTATTATGCGATAATATTGAGATAACTATACATATCGACAGATACAAGTACGATGTACATATGTACTCCATGCTTTTTATCTACAGAATGACGCAGCGGAACATGCACTTGCATTTTCATACAGTGTCAGGTAAAAATATCGGTTAAAGAACCATGTACATGCATTGTACATACAAGTATGCATGATTTAATTGTGCTCCGACACACGGAAGTAATCGAGTTGATCGCTGCGACCGCAATATTTCATCTTAAGTTTTAAGGCTGCGAAATGTTTCGAAATATATTCAAATTTTATTTTCAGTTCATTTATTACAAAATATACAAATGTTTCTCTACAAATTTCTTCTAATTGGAGTAGTACAACTTGATCTGCACCTTGATGTTCTATGTTCATCGATGACTCCGCAAAAAACAGAACGATGAATCATCAATCATACAGAACATGATCAATTTTAATTTATGATCCATTAATTTGTACATCAGTGTTACATCAGCTTTAAATAAACTTAAACATTCATCACCAGATTTTAATATTGTTGTATTAAATAATTATTAAAGCACAATAATAATCCGAATATATTTTAATTGAACTTTAAAATTATCAATGACGGAGATAAATAAATTTTTCAACATTTTGCAAATTTTCAACCAATAAATACACAATATTAAAATAAAAAAAACATTTTATATTGCTTTTAAATAAATAACTTTCTTAAAAACCTTTTATTAATCGAACTCGATAGCCTCACTAAAAAATCCACAGAATGTATTGCTTATCGATAGACAGCAGTGGGCCATTTTGAATGTGAAAAATTGTTCGGGTGCGAGAGTGAATGGTCACAAAAACAACAATACCCAAGGTGATTCAACGTGTGTTATCGATAAATTTTCAGCTCTAGTGAAAAAGTATGGAACTATTCTGGTATAAAACGTGTAAAACTCTGAATATTATTGTGCCTGGACTCTATATATCGCTATATACGCTAGAAACAAAAGCAGAACTAGCTTACAACTGAAAAACATTAAAGTGCAAAGGATCGGATGCACGACATACGTAACATTTCACAATATATGTGCGTTATTTCACTCCATATTACATTAGTTAATCGCAGTAACCATGGATAAGTGTGTCCAAAATTAAGCTGGCCACCATGCCCCCCAAAGCCAAGTTCAAGAAAATGGCCATTCACAAGGGATTCCCAATACACCAAGAACATACTTGTGTCTTTAAGTTCAGATGTCGAAATTTCACACCCTTATGGGCGCGCTGTTTGACCCCTTCCTCTTTGTTCTCCGCCTGATTGCAAAAATGAGTTCCCCCATCTACGAGCAATATCGGTGCGGGCCGTCACGTCCCATTTCCGCTGGTTCACGTTCCCTGTGGAAGCCAAACAAGGTGCATCAGGAGGCACCCGAGGTCAAACCGCTCGAAGTCCCCGAGGATTTGAGGATCCCAACCCTGCAGCCGGACCCCCTAAATCCGCTGGCCACCATAATGTCCTTCAAGCTAATGGCCATGGACGTAGTCACTCAAATGCAGACCGCCCTGCACAAGTGTGTCAACGCCCAGAGTCCGCCGGGCGCCAAGATGGCGGGAATCGAGCTGGACGCCTTGCGGCGTTGCGTGCCGTCCTCGTGCTACTTCTTTATCGACCTGCATCCGCACCACGGCTTTAAGGACACCGCGGAGGACTGCCCCACTAGTCAAGTCTCCAATGACCGAAACAACAACGCAGGCAGTTCGGAAGCATCGACTGCTAAGAGCTCCTTGCAGCGGCAGCGTAGCATTTCTGAGTGCAGTGAGGACAGCTTCATTTGCTTCGAGGACGATGCAGAGGAGAATGATGAGGATGTCGCTGATGAGGATGATGATGACGACAGCAGCGTGCAGTTTACAGCATGCGGCGAGGATGGGGATACCGAGGAGCTAAAGGCTTGCCAGTGCAGCAACGACAGCTCGATTCCCGTCAAGAAGGTGAGTTGATACGCGGCATAAATTGCCATAACTAATAAACTATTAATGCCCACAGGTTCGTTTCAACATTAAACCCGAAGTTCACGTAATGCTAGCCTGGGACTACGCTTATCGGGCTGCCAGGAAGAGCGAATGGCAGGTAATGGCGCGAGATCGGGATCGCTTTCAGCAGCGGATCCGACGTATTTCACCCATTCTGAACGCCGTCCTGACCTCAGTTCATCGAGAACGTGTCTATCAGGCTCGATTCTTACATAAGGACTAGCCGGTCCGCATACCTGATGTAACTTTTGATGTACAGATTACAGTTTAGAACGATTACACTAAATTAAGCACAAGTTATTTGCGTGTATAAAGTGATTTAGCCACTGCGTTCGTGATTGATTTTATGAAACCAAAAACTGTTTAACCCTGTAAAGTATATCAAAACCAAGTACACTTTTCTTCGCCTTTAGTTTTAGAGCCCTAAGAAGTTTGAATTTGTTGATAACGGGATTAGCATATACGTTAATATAACTTGAAATAAATTAAGCATTAGACGTATTTTACCATGTGTTCTACTTTTCATATGAGATTGCTTGCACTCTGTTTAGAATTCCCAAGCCAAACAAGTTTGGGCAAACGCTTTGTGTGTACGTGAGTGAGAGATAAGCTCAGAATAGAAATAGATAAGACGACAGTTTGGAAAAACCAACGTTAAACATGGAACAGTACATTTCATAAACGTTATCACGTTTATTCTTTATTTATTTCATGATTTCTTCAGTCGTTGGCAACTTGTGATTTTGGTAATCCCCGAAACTTATTTTGCCAATTGATAAACTCCACCCGAGAATATAAGCTTGTGCTCCCTAACTTTTCGCTGCAAAAAGTGTTTCAGCTCATCCTGAGTAAACTCCACTCCGCCGCTGTGGGAGGCAAACAGCTTTAGCATCTGGTGGATTCGGTCGATTGGCATGGAGTCCAGATTTGTGAGCATTCCAACAATATAGGACCAAAAAACCTGCGAGGCATAATAGCATGAGAAAAACCGAAAAATGGCACTGTTCACCACACTTACTTGGAGTTCTTCTTCCCTTTGATCGCTGGCTGAAGCCATTGCGGATTCCAAATCCTCTTCATCAGCTTCTGCGAGACTCATGTCCTCGAACTGAGACTTTTCCGATTCCTTTTCCAGCAGAGTGAATATTCCGGGTGCCGTTTCCGAGATCAATCCGTGGTTTTGCCAAAAACTCAGACGACGACGTAGTGCAGAGGGTGGAACTTTCGTAATGGAGCTAAGATCCTCGATAGTCCATTCATCTGAAAAATGCAATATGCGGTTGTAAAATGAAGAATCTGACTGCTAGGTCGAAACTCACTCTTATTTTGGAAGTGGTAGATAATGACCGCTAATATGGGGCTCACAACCATTTCCATGGTTCTGTCCCCGATCTCGATTTCAATATTTACACGTCCAGTCACTGTACGCCAGTTAAGCGTACGGTTTCCCTTGTACGCCTCATAGGCCTTGGTGTACTTCTTGAACTCATTCTCAATCTCCTCAGGAAGTTGGAGGCTTTCTTTATTGAAGGACGGCCAAAACTGGGCAGACACAATCAGCGAGGAGATTTCGAATAACTGATCTAGAATGAGATGGTTTGTTTAAGGCCAAGTATACATCTTGAAGGTTAAAAGCAACTCACTTTCAGTTCGGTTGCCATCGCTGTGGATATGCGCGTTAATTCGCTTAGAATCGGTTACGTCTTTCAACATCACCTCACAGCTGTGCAGCAGTGATTCGCCAAAGCGGATCTTCAGCAATTCCAGATTTCGAATTTCCTTTTCGGAATTGAAATCTAACTGGGCCAGCAGTCTATCCGCCATTAGATTGCGATACTCTGTCATGAACAACTCCTTACTGCCGTATATGTCAACCACCATTGATATAATGTCGGCCGACCTCATCTTTCGCGAGCTGTTGTACTGCATGATGCTGGCATCTATTCCAAACGGATCCGGCTCCCAATTTTCCCAGTTGCTGAACTCATCGGCACCCGAGTCCTTGCACTCCTTAATTGATTCTCCCTTGGCGAGTTCCTCGGACAAGTCCGTGGGTCCCTCTTCAGTCAGCCCTGTGACTACGCGTCGCACTGTGTCGTTTCGTTTCCTCAGGTAATCTTTGATTGGTGCCGTTACCATCTCTAAGATGACTCCGGTGCTATCCAAATGGCGAATAGCTTTGATGGCTGCCACGTAGCCGGTTAATATGTCCATGGTGTTAACGCCAGGATGCAGAATCCTTGCCTCTAGCGAGCTCCTAAGGGATTCAGTGAGGTAGACTCGCATATCAATTTTCTCCATGCAGATCTTCAAGTCATCTATAGCCGGAATGGAATCTGGATAATCTGTTTAAAAAAAGAATACATATAGTTATGGGTCTTTTGTCTGATTTTAAGGGCTCATACCAATTATTATGCTGAAGAATTGACCAATAACGCTTTGCGCAAAGGTTTCGTACATAAAGTAAGTCAGTTTAACTTTGAAGGACTTAACAGACTCGGGAACTTCGATATCGCCTATGCTGTCCTTAGACTTCCATTCCGTGAATATGTTTGTAAGCCAGGACATTATAACATCCGACAGCCACTGCAAAGGTAGTTAATAAGTGTTCCAAGATGACAACAGAAGGAAATCCCATTTCACTCACAGTTTCAAGCTGCTTAAGATGACTTCTGTCGAAAATGCCCATGCATGTGTCGTTGATGTGCTCCTTGATTTTGAGCTTGATCAGAGCCGTTAGAGCACTCCCAGTTAGACGGTCTATGAGGTTCATCTCGAAGAGTTTCATGTTGGTCTTGTTAACCATATCCGTCAACTTTTGGCAGCAGCACTGCTCTGCGTCGAAGTTGCAGCCAACGCAGAGGAGCTCATCGAAAACATCTGAATCTGACGGCGAAAGTGAGTATGGGAACTACAGGGTTATGTATTTAATCCATACCAACTGTGGTCAAGGCGAGATTTGAGGCCTTGGTAAAGAGCTTAAAATGCACCCAGTAGAAGGCTCCAACGACCACACTGAAAGTGGGTGGCAGTTGAGCCAGCAAGGAGTCCCTCAAGCTGTTCTTGATGCCATCCTTCTGCATGAACTTCACCGTCTTTGCAGCGGCCTTTTCCTCGGTTCCAATTAGCTTGATCAGCCTCGGTTTCACCTGCATCAGGCTCTGAAAGCCGTCATGTAGCTCATTGATGGCATCTATGAACTGGGTGAACAATCGGTTCTTATCGGGCAGGGCTTCTATGGCCAGAGCTTGGTCGTCAATCCCGCCCTGCAATTCAGTCGAGACCAAGCCGGCATGGAAGTGCTTCCAGAACTTGGGCACCAGGACATTCCGAATGGCCGATTGTATTTCCAGGTCCACAAGCGCCGCGAAGGTGTCTATGCTCCCCAACATCTTGAGGTGCTGGCGAACATTTTCGTATACCTTCTCATCAACCGGATCATTGGATATGGAATTCTATACAAATTTCTGAGTGCTAGGGCCAACATTTATTAATGAATCGAAGGAATAAACCTACCGCTCCACCCAAAACAGGAAAGATTCTCAGTACATCCGCCCACAAGGCGTCAAAATCGCACATAGTTTGTGTGTTTCTTTACTTTAGGCAGTACACAACTGCTGGAAACTCGAAATCAAATGCCAATGGAGATGGCAGTGTTATTATCGATAAAGCGCTTCTATCATCCGAACCGATAGACGATGATTCTTGGATTTATCAGATATTATATATCTATTATTCATTCTTTCATACCATTCCTTACCATTTTCCAAATTCCCACCTGATTCGAACCCATATAAGTCCATTGATGAGCTACCACCTTCTCATCAATTGTCCCATAAATATATACAAGAGTTTTACTAAAATAAATTATATTAATAGATACGGGGAGCTTAGTAGCCAGAAAGTAAGAAACAGCAAGTTTTAGAAATACTGATGTATATCTTATGTTCTGGCAAACACAAACAGTTAGAGCTAAAATTAAAATTGCATACGACCTATTTACATACATACAAATTGAGATTTGAGAGCCAGCGTTGATCTTTCATAGGAATATAGTTGGATTGCGAATTTATTTAATTTTTATTGTACTGTGTGCCTCACCCGACACACGCCCGTGTGGTAGCCAACATAGATTGGATGCGGATGCCAATGGCTAGCGACTTAAGGAGTATAACTATGAAACTATCGTATTTTCAAATGCGTCTGCTGGTGCTTTTTCAAGTGGTCGCTCCTCACAAACCGGCGACAGCACTGCGAACAGGCATAGGGCTTCTCCCCGGTGTGCGTTCGTATGTGCCGGTTGAGGTCGTCCTGCCGCTTGAACCGCTTCTCGCACTGCCGGCAGTGAAAGGGCCGATCCTGGACGAACTGGGGCATTCCGTACGTGCCGGGTCCGTCCGCCGGCGGTAACTGGGAAAGGGTATTTACCATTTCTTCGGTCGGCTCGTATTTTACCTGGGGCTTGGCCTGGTTAAGGAAATCCGGCAGCTGGCTCTGGTTGTGGCCATGATTCTCCAGCTGGTGATCGGGAGTAACTATCTGGTACTTGTCGCTGTGCTCCGGCCGCTCCAGCTTGATTTTTATCGGCTTGTGGTGGGTGTCCATCATGTTCGCGGGCTGCTGGTGCTGGTTCTGATGCTGCAGATGGTGGTGTTCCATGCTTGGATCCCCACAACCAACCATGGCGGCAATGAAGTGGAAGCCCGAGTCCGACTCCGACTGAGTTATCTTCTTCGAGGGCTTGAGCCGGACTACGCCACTGCTGCTTGGTACCGATCGCTTCGGGGTGCTGCCCTTCAGCTGCCGGTCATGGGTAGCCAGGTGCTTGGTGAGGTGGTCGCTGCGGGAAAACTTCTTGGTGCACTGAATGCACTCGAAGGGCTTCTCGCCGGTGTGCGTCCGGAGGTGCCGGTTGAGCTCATCGGAGCGCGTGAATCCCTTGCCGCACTTGGGCTCGCTGCAGACGAAGGGCTTGATGCCCGTGTGCCAGGTGAGGTGGGACCGCAGGTGGGAGCTCTTGCCGTAGCTCTTTGTACAGTTGTCATACGGGCAGACGAACTTGCGCTTGGGATCGGAGGCGTGCGGCGTGGCTATTAGCTTTACACTGGGCAGTATCCGGATCTTGGAGCTGCCGTTCCCGCCGTAATGCGAGTCATCCTCCGGCTCAGTCTCAACTCCGTGATGGGGCACATTCTCCAAATTCGCCTCGTCGTGCTTGAGGTCCCCGAAAATCGTCGAGGCCTGCATTCTCAAATCGGACGCCTGCTCGTGTATGTTTGCGCCGCTCAGCGTGGGAAACGCTGGTGGTTGTTTCATGGGTTCTATGGGCGTTGATGTCGTCAGCATTTGGGGTGTGGGCGTGTTTGGTATTACTTGTGACATTGCGCTTACGTTCGGGGCCCCCTAGCGCCCTATCCGGAGTGTCTGGAATCGAGAAGGGAGATATTGTACTGCCAGGTGCGCGACTACCTCTTCCTAATTACCCAAATTGCGTTTATCCAAAACTACACTCCTGTACAGGAAACTGTGTTTAGTGGGCGTCGGCCTAGGATTTATCAGTTCTGTGGAGCCTCGTCACCATAGCCAGCACGGAAAACGGTTTATAGTCGTTCCGGGCGTCCCGCACACATTTTTCAATTGTTTTCGGTTAGCGCGAATACATTTTCCAGCGGATTTGCTTATTTTACTTTATTTTATTTATATACTGAAGTACATCTATTTAATTGCGATGAGATATATCGACTAGTCGATAGGTGCAAAATATGTGACTGAATGCGTGTGCGGAGCTATCGGATTCCAATTGTATAGTTATCGATTGCTCTTACTTGGTATTTAGTCAAATAATTAGAACTAAATTCTTAATTGACATTAAGCAACCAGTATTACCTGGAGTAGAATAACTTTCTTTTTTATGGATCAACAAAATATTCATTGCTTGCCTTGTTTCAAAAAGTACTAAGACAAATACTGAAAACAATACAATACAAAATGTATCGATAGTTTCGACTCGCCCATCCCCAATCCGCACTGCAATTAAATTCAATGCGTATTTACAATTGTTAGTTTGCTGAAATGCCAAATAAAGCTGAGGAGCTGGGCGATACGCAACTGACCAAAAGACAGAGGAGAAAGCAGACGATTTGGACGCGGGAGAAGATCGCCAAGCTAATCGAACTTTACCGCTCATCGGATTGTTTGTGGAACCACCATTCCGAGCTATATAAAAACAAGGATTGCAGAGCTAAGGCCATCGATTCTATATGCGTCTCGCTCGGGATAACGAAACACGACTATGGCAAGAAGGTGCACAACCTGCGTAACCAATTCAATGCGGAGCTCAAGAAATTGGAGAGGAGGCTTGAGGAATCTGGAGGAGATCGAGATTCCGAGAAGGCTTGTCGATGGGAGCATTTCAAAACGCTGATGTTTCTGCGATCTGTTATAGAACCGCGACCAGGATATCAACAAGGTCCTTTAGGCAAGGTGGGCTTCGTAAATCGAAATCTTTAGCCCATAAGCTAACCAATTTATCCTGGGTTTTGGTTTTTGGTAGAAACTGGTGTCGAAACTGGACATGTGCTACCCAGATCAAGATGTGGAGAAGCAGAGTCAAACCTCAATAGAAAGCCTGGAATCCATGATTATAGAGAACGATGCAGAAACCAGTGAGCCTCCAAAGCTCAGCGAACCCATTCCCATGCCTCCTGAACCTGCGCTGCCTTCGAAGTTCTTTGATCCAATTCGACCAAACGAAGCTCCCGCTGCTCCCGGTCCCGTCCACATACCAGCAAGTGGTCGGGATCAATGGGACGCTTTTGGAGAACTAATAGCCAATGAATTCCGCAACCTGAACTCTGAAGTTTCGCGCAAGAGGCTGAAGCGGAAAATAATGCAAGTTATGCTGGAAGTCGGAGAAGAGGATGATCTTGCAAGCAGTTGATTGTAGAATTATCTACATGTTTAATACAGTGGACACCCTTTTAAATATAAATCTTTTATAGAAGCAGCATACAGATCATTCGAAGACTTCATCGCAAGACTTTGTATGTAAATTGTATGCACCGTTCAATATAAAACGGAAGTGGTTAAACTTTGCATTGTTAAGCTATCATTTTTACTGGTAATTCATTTGCATTTTTATTATGGTATAGGAGATATATAGAGTACGTGGGACCTAATATTACGAAACAGTCGACAGCTGTTGGAAATTCATGAAGGACAGCAAAAAAAGCACAAGATTCAACAGGTTACAATTAGACGAGAGACTTATCAGGCGTACATTTGTCAGAACTTAAAGTCCTTAATGGCCTGTGGCAGATCAGGTAGCTTTATGTCTTTAATCTGTTGCGGAATGTTCATACTCTTCACGGCGCTCACAGCTCGGGCAGGTGCAGCCGAGATCCCCGCTTCCTGCTTGACGATCTTGTTCTGCTCCTCGATCCTGGCCATTATGTCGTTCATATTTGTTTGCAGGACCATTCCACCCATTACCAGTTCTGAAAAAAGTCACGATAGCTACATAAATCTGAATGGATTGCAAGGTGGCTTTCCGAACCTGAGAGGATGTGGTGGACGGCATCGGCGTGGAATATCAGGTCCAGCTCACACACGTTTTCGAAGCACTTGTCGAGGGTTTCCACGAATACCTGGATCAGGTCCAGGATTCCCAGTTCACTCTCCGAGGAGTCCACACAGAAAACGAAGTACAGCGTGGCATAGTGCCTGTAGATGAGCTTGTAGTCCGATCCGCCAATCAAACTGTGTCAGGAAAAGGTGCTGTTAAATATCACGGTTATTTCTTTAACAGTATTGCTCACCTCCCGCCCTCCAGAAAGTTGCAAACATTATCATCCCGCTTGGACACCAATTGGAAAGTCTCCTTGATTATTTGCTGCTGCAGGCTTTCATCCTACAAATGATAGCCACAATTTAATGAGAACTCGATTATATGTCGCAGCACTTACGAAATACTGATAGAACTTTGAAAGCCTCGGCTTCCCGTGATTATTAAAAACAAGTATGGCTTTTATCATTTCAACTTCTATGATAAGTCAACAAAAAAAATGAAAATGTTGTTTAAACTGCCAGCTGTTTTGCTTTTTCGGCCAGGGCTGCAAAATCAATACTTGGTATAGCATCTATGTATAGTATCGATATATCTTTATCCGACGGTTTTATTTCTAAAATAAAATAGAATTTCTAATAAAATCTAATCTAAAGGAATATGTATATTTCTAACACCCAAAACCCCTTAAATCTGTTATTGAAAATCCGAAAAAGTGTTTTGGGATTTCTGATTGTTGCCCATCTCTAATATCTCCCAACTCGCGGTATTTGATTTGTTTATTTACTAATTGTATTAAACTATGAATATTTTAACAAAAGTCCAGTACAGTTGCAGGTACAAGTTGTGTATTTTTGTAAATCGCTTTAGTTACCATATAGTTTTCAGGGTGAGCTCGGTTTTAAACAAAGATGTGAAGCAACACGGAAAGCAGTTCATGTTCGATACGCGGGAAGAAACATCTTGGAATTCAGATGAGGTATCCAAAGATTTTGAAAGAAAGGTACTCGAGAGGAACTAACTCCAAACGCCGGTTTCAGGGAACCCCCCAGTTCATAACCATTAGCTTGGAGGAGCCACAGAAAATCTCAGCATTTAGTTTCCAGTTCCAAGGAGGATTCTCTGGCCAAAAGTCGGAAGTGATCATGTACTCCGCTGACGGGGTCCAAATACATCAAGAATCGTTTTACCCAGAAGATATCAACTCTGCTCAGCTCTTCCAGATCGTGGATTCAGTCCGGGACAAACCTTGCTCAAAACTGAAGTTCGTCTTCCAGTCCAGTACTGATCTATTTGGTAGAATCATTGTTTACAATCTCCAGCTGTTGGGCTAGGGTCCGACTCTTTGGATCTGTCTAAATGTGTACAAAATCTGCTCTAATCAAAGTGTATATAATCGGAATATTATCTATTGTGGTATTATCAAAAACATTGGTCCGTAATGGGATGGTCATAGTTATCAGAAATATTTGTGCTGATTCAGCCTGGCTCTGCTGAAATTGATATGGAACTAATTTCATATAAGCATTTCAAACAAGGTAAGCCCTTTAAAGTTCCCCCGAACTAACATTAATTTCAGGGAAAAACGACTATTCATATCTTTTCAAAGTGCTTATGACTGAGGATCGAAGTGCAATTAAAATATATCCACGCTATTCCCCAATTTGAATACCATTTGCATGAAAATGGCTCGCGAAACACGCAACTTCCGAACGAAGGTGACACTTTAGTCCATGCCTTATCACCCCTAAAAGCGTCATCAATCAGCTTAGCCCATTCCAATAGAATTTTCGACCTTTATGTATATTGCACCAAAACCATAGTTTATTTGTCCAAAACCGCACGGATAATTTTAGGCATAGCTTAATATTTCGAATGCTTCATTTTTGGCTATGTTTCAAAGAGGAAACTAGGCTGCAACCGAGATCTCCAGGCGAGGGCAGTTGGGAATCCCACATTCCAGGTCGGGGGACTTGTCCTGGTGCCAGCAGCTCTCCGAGTTGCAGAACATGCATGCGTTGGGCGAAAGCGGGACGTTCGTAGACAGGTCCACCATTTCCCACACTTTCTTCAGATCGGTAACCAGGGCGTTCATCATTTCGAAAGTGTGGAACGGAGTGGGAGCCAGCCGTAGTTTCTCCTGGCCCCGGGCGACAGTTGGGTAGTTAATCGACTGCAGGTAGTGTCCGAATTGTTCGATCAGCACGTTTGAGATTTGACTGCTCTTCAGAGGGTCTCCGATTTTAATGGGAATGATGTGGCTGGGGGTTTCTTCGACGGGAAAACCTGAAATGGGGCAAATAATACATGCATTCAGAAAACTGAAAGTTAAGTGTCTTCTATATATAGCCCCCACTTAAAATAAAACGAAAGTGCGAGAATAACCTTCAATTCGAGTTACATAAATGCCAGAATTGAATTACGTCCTACCTTCTCGTTTTAGCAAACTCTTCAGGTAGGAGACGTTCCGCTGGTGCAAAAGGCGCAGCTGGCGACCCTCCTCCGATGCCAGGATGTTGACGGACTCCAGGGCGCCGCACAAAACAGTGGGCGGCAGTGAAGTGGTGAAGATGAAGCCAGCCGCATAAGACCGGATCATGTCGACCAGGTTATGGGTGCCAGCTATGTAACCCCCAATGTTACCGAATGCCTTGCCCAGGGTGCCCGATATGATGTCCATTTTGTGCAGCACTCCATCCCGTTCACCGACACCGGCCCCATGGTCGCCGTACAATCCCACGGCGTGCACCTCGTCGATGAACGTGATGGCCCCGTGCTCGTGGGCCACGTCAAGCAGCTCCTCGAGCGGGCAGATGGCCCCCGTCATGGAATGTACCGTCTCAAATGCGACGATCTTGGGCACGCTTTTGTCCGTCTGTTTCAGCAGCTGATGCAAGTGGTCCACGTCGTTGTGCCGGAAGATGTGCTTGGGAACCCCGCTGTTGCGGATTCCCATAATCATGGAAGCGTGGTTGCCTGCGTCCGAGAAGATCTCGCATCCAGGCAAAAGCTTGGCGAGCGTGTAGAGAGTGGAATCGTTGGCCACGAAGCACGAGGTGAAGAGCAGCGCAGCCTCCTTCTGGTGCAGCTCAGCCAGCTTACTCTCGAGGCGCTCATGGTGGAGAGAGTTGCCCGAGATGTTCCTGGTGCCGCCAGCCCCCGATCCGTGCCTGTTGAGCGCGTCCTGGACGGCTCTCTTCACGCCGGGGTGGGCGGACATGCCCAGGTAGTCATTGGAGCACCACACCGTGATGGGCTTCTCCCTCCGCTCCGAGTACTCGAGGGCGTGGGGGAAGAGGCCGTCGCCCGCCAGGCGGTTCACCTTCTTGAAGACCCTGTAGGAGTGGTCCCGCTTCTTCTTCATGATTTGCTCGTTAAAGAAGCGCTCGTAGGGAAAGGTCTCCTTGGCGGATGCCTTACCAGGATCGGCGGTGGCGGTTGCGGGTGCGGAGGCACCAGCATTGCCAGCAGCAGTGACATTGGCCTGGGCGTTCGCACCCGTCGAGTAAGACCTTGTAACACTTGCGGCGACGAGTGAAAGTTTCTTTTCGCCCGAGCTCAAGGTCTTCCCAACCACGGGACAGTGGCTCCCGTAGGATTGGCACAGAGTCTCCGCGTAGTTGCGGATGAAGCTGGCGGTGAAGCGGTTCAGAAAGGGACACTGCATGACGAGGCGCTTTTCCACTTTTGAAGACCCGACCTAAATCAGCGAACTTTGAAAGCGAAGTGAGTGGTTCCGAAAATTATGCAAGAAGGTGATTGCGAGGAGGCGGGCGAGTGTGGCCAGAGCTGCTGAAAGTGTGCTGTCCACAATCAGCTGTCTTGAAAAATACCAACCAACATGTTCAAACAAATGTTTGCCGGTTTTTAAAAAAATGTTTGCTCGAGCATAAAAGTTCATTTATTCAAACTATGCCGTCATAGAGTACAAGTTTTAGATATGCCATTTATTTCAAAGCAAAGTTAAGTGGAAAAATACCTGTTTTTAAACCTGATTCTTGTGATTGATTGGTTGATTGGTTGGTCATTCAGGTTCACTCAGGATCTAATTGAGCTTAATGAATGTTTCGTCATCCAGGATCGCAAAATTGTCCTCGCGGAAGTGGAGCAAGTTCTCATTGAAGCACTTGCTGCTTTCGTTGTGCAACTTGGTCATTACAGGCTTGATGTTCTTAATTCCTGCCGTTTTCGACAAGTCCGTGAAATAGTCGATCTGGAAGGTGGGATGAAATTAAAAACCAGATAGGGAAATAAACTCAACTTGCTTCTCACTTGTCTGGGACCCAGCATGTGGGCATGGCGTTTCCTTAGTCCCTCCTCCCAAAGTTTGCCCATCTTATCTTGGGTATCCTTGAGCATATCCTCGGTGGACGGCAGTTCGTTGGCTCCCGTGAAGTAGCTCATGATGAATCTCGCTTGGATGTCCATCATTTGGGCGGCACAGACGTAAAACGGCAGTCCGATCAGAGCCATGGAAGGGTTCCTGATGTTGATGCACTGCTTGTACAGCTCCTGGACGAAGTTGTCCTCCACATGGATGCCCGAGTCGACGGTCAGGAAGGGAAAGGCGTACTTGTAGCCCGTGCAAAAGAAGACGGTGTCGAACTCCTCGTAGGATCCGTCCACGAAGAAGGCCCCCTTCTCATCGAGCTCCCGAACATCGGGCTTCTGCTGGACGTTGTCGAAGAATATATGTTGGCCGATGTCGGTCAAGTGGTGACTTATAGTGACCCGATTCGCGGATCGGGAAATGATGTTAGACAGGTCCATCCCACTGGGACCAGCTCCAATGACCAGAACGGATTTACCTTGGGCAGTACAGATACCATGAGATATTTCTTGTGCTCATACAAGTTCTGCCATACTTACCCTCGAAAACCTCCCTACTTCTGAAATCGTGGCTGTGCAAGAACTCGCCCCTAAACCTATCCATACTCGGAATTGGGCTATAGTTTGGGGTGTGGTAGTGGCCATTGGCCACCAAAACCTTGTCGAAGTACTGGAACCCTATTTTGTTTGTAACCAAATCTTTGAAGAGCACCTGCAATGGTTCGGTTAGGTTCTTATACATAAAGACCGACTCTACAACTTACTTGCCACTTTGTTTTCCTTTGCAACACCCGAATAACATAGGTATTGAACTTGATGTGCTTCTTCAGTTCGAAATGGTCCGCGTATTGGTTCAGGAAATCGCAGATCTCGTCGGATCTCACATAGGAAGCCTCGTTTTCAGCGATCTCAAAGTCCGGAAAGCCCATTACCTCCTTGGGCAAATTTGTTCTTTGGCGAAGCCCGAAAACTCTTAGAATATCAAATGTTGACTCGTAGACTCAGACTTTCCTACCGTAGGTTTTTGTACATGCTGCTGTGGACATCGATGCCATTGACCACGCCTGTGGCCTCATTGTAAACCCAGGTTCCGCCGATTCGATCAGATAGCTCGAACACAGTCGTCTGGAACCCATTCTCAATCGAGTGGCGGGCACAGCAAAGACCCGCGGTTCCGGCCCCAATTATGCAAACGCTCATTATATTACAGTATATGTAACCGTTTTCAATTTTATTAATTGCTCCTAGGTGCGGTACGCCGGGATCGCCTTCTACGCGCCGATTGCCTCCACGAAACTGAGGATCGCACCGTGATGAACTTTATGGCATCCCCGCTTGATAGCCCTGGAAAAGTGGGGTACTTGGACTCCAATGAGAGGTTCGTACAGCCTATTTAAGACGTTCAATTAGTATAGTCGAGCTAAACCCACACGATCAGTTTGTCACCTCTACTGTACATCCAGTACATCCAGAGTATCTTGTATTCGCAATCCGGATCGCTGTGCTTATTTTCTGTAATCGCGCTGATAAGCAAGAGCATAGAGCCTCTGCATTTGTCTCGCTTTTTGTTTATAGGGCATACTCAATACTATATACTTATTATATTCATATTTACACTGCTGATAGGAAGCATAGGCAAAAATTCCCCACAGATGCTCAAATGTACTCGATTCGTGCTGCAGTTCAAGGTTTGGGCAATTATTGGCAGAACCATGAGGCCAACTTCTTTGAGTTCGTCTTTTCCCACGCTAAACTGCGAAATCAAATGTGAGAAAATTTGCATGGGTCAGGCGGATTCGGAACGTACGTGCCTCAGTTGCAAAGTGCACGCCAAGATCGTCTAACATGGGGCTACCAGCTTGCATATGCACCAAAGTTCTCCAGCTGGCGAGTATCTTCGAGCACAAGGAGACTTTGAATTACCAGAATGATAGTGATACATCACCATTAGATTGCCACGGTGGCGGCCTTGATTGTGAAGAGGTTGTCGGACAAGCACTCGGAAAGGGTGTTCGCGATCAACAAGAAGCAGTCCAGGGAGTGGACCCTCCTGAACAGCATCTCCTGGTCGAAGGAAGGCGACGACTTCGGCACGCTGACCTTCGTGGGATTCACCTTTGTTGCGGCCGTTCTGCTGCTCACAAGGTGAGTACCCAGTGACTATGGTTCACCACTACTAGGTCCATCTGCTTTTAGGATCATCGAGGGCACCTCAAACTATGGCACCTGTGAGATAATTCTACTGACCTGCGGAGTTCTGTTCTTCACCATAGAGGGTAATATGAGTCTTGGGATGTAATATCAGACTGCTCAACTATTTCCTACAGGTCTTCTTATATTCTTCACTGTGGAGCAGCTTTCGGAGGACCTTCTGGTTTATGCATATGCATTGGGCGCACTTTGTTTCATCTGCGCAGCCCTGTTCGCCCTGGACCTGATGTTCTTCAAGAATCTGCTCAAGCTGAGGAGCTCCACTGCCCAAACAGACCAGTTGAAGGAAACAGTGGCCCTCAAGGTGTACAATCTGTCCCAGGAACCGAAGACAAACTGCTGCAACATCGTGCCACAAACTCACATCGTGAATGAAAGCAGTAGGAACTATCTGCGAACCGACTTGTAGAACCCAGTGAAAGAGCTTGAGATACATATCTGCATCTGCGTTACCTTTATTGCCGTAACTTTCGAATGTAGTGAAACAAAATATGCATTATAAGATCGTGCTGCTGAAACAACTAATTGGACTCGTATGTTAATAAAGTTTTCGACATTAATCAACGCTAGAAGCGGCCGCAACTAATACACAGAATGGAATGCAGTGCCAACAGTGTAGACTACGATAATAAAACCCCTGGGCTCCTCTCAGAACAGCAGGAAGGACACCCTCGTCCTCCGTGCATCCCCCTTGGCTCGGCGAGCCATCCCGTAATGTCAGGGAATGTCGCTGCTGCTCGTCGTCCCCTTGGAATCGCACATTCCGCCGGCCATGTTCTCGTTGGACCGCTCCGATGTGAGTCCTCCGGTTATCCCAGTTAAATTTAGTTTGTACTGCAAGGCGGAGCAAGGATTAGGGTGGAGTTAGTAGGAGCTGGTACTGCACCGTACGAGTGCCCGAAATCAATGGGTGGGTTAACCACTTTGGGGGATCTGGTCAGCTAGGGGATCTTATCAAGTTATCAACATCAACTCAAGATGCAATGCATTAAAGATACAAAGATACATACGTAATACAGAAAGATACAGCGCAGGCTACATTAGCATAGTTTGAAAGCAAAAGATAGAAAGGTAACTAATAAGGCTCGGAGCATGAAACGGGGAAAGAACATCCTCAAAAACCAAAACGCTGCTCCTGCGAACGAAAAGCTCTTAAATCATACCTGTAATAATGCATGCTTTAATATCACAGTAAACTATAGAAATCATACACATCGAGAATCTGTAGTACCCACTACAAATAGGAAATGGCCGCGTGGCCTGGCCTGGGCCTATTTACCTTAGTTGCGCACTCAAAGCACTTCGACACTACTTTATTTATAACGTTCATAAGGTTCTTGGTTTCCCTGATGACGTGATCGACCTTCACGAACGTGGCAGCTTTGCCCACCGTGTGGTCTTTGACTGTAAACTGGAGTGCTTGGACAAAAGTCGGCACTCTATCTAAAATGTTGAGGAGATCCTTTTTGTTGTCACTAGCGGGAACCTAAAAGAGTCCAGAATTAGAATGGCCTTAGCCCTTAGAGCTAAGCCCTTAGACATGAGCCCGATTACCTGGTATGAAAAGTGGCGGAGGACTTTGTAAAGTCGGTTGGCCTCCTCCGCAAAATATTCGGCTTGAGTAAACAAATCCTGAGTTGTTCTTAGAGAACCGTTGCCCTTGGTAAACTGATACATTAGGAAAGCCATCGCGGACATGTTCTTGGCTCTCTTCAGTATGTCGTTGTCGTCCGACAAGTCTTCGCTCCATTTTGATTGATATGTGTTCAGATCTCCGTTGTTCTTGCCTTCGAGGCCAGAATACTCAACCATTTCTCCGTCTTCTGTTGCAGGTACACCGGATTTTGTTAGTTTGTCTGAGCTCTCGCATTTCTGTGGAAGATCGGAGGCAAGCACATTACTGGGTTAGTGATTACCCGACTCTCGGTAGGTGTTTGGTACCCACCTCAGCATCAGCTTCTCTGTCACTCTTAGTGGTGTTGATTGAAACGAGGATCTTCTTGGCGATCATGGAGATCTCGTTCGTCAGCCACTTCCACATGTCCGAGAAGGACTCAAAGTTCTCGTTGGCCGCACTGCTGTTGGAGTACTTCCACAGGATCTTGGCCGCGATGAAGACCTGCGGCCCGTAGATCCTCAGGTTAATCGCCAGGCACTTGGCCTGCACCTGCAGCCGCTCCGTGGGCGCAATGTGCTGGAGCAGCTTGCAGATGTCGAAGATGTGGTCGCAGCAGTCGTGGAACTTCGTGGAGCGCTGGTTCAGATTGTCGATGTCGTAGTTCGTTGCCAGTACGTGGAACGACTTGACCAGCTTGGAGCAGATCTTGAGCGACTCGTTAAAGTCCTCGATCTGGCTGGACACGGAGACGACCAGCTGCTTGCACAGCTCCTCCAGGCTGCTGAGCATCCCCAGCTCGGGATCTGAGCGACCCTTCACCTGGCCTCCCACTCCGCCCACACCACCCACTCCACCAACTCCGCCGACTCCGCCGCCCTCGTGCTGATCCTTCATGATGGTGTTCAGGTACAGGTCGAACTCCAGCTTACAGTTGTCGCAGTAGGACAGGATGTTCTTGCGGTGGTTGTGGCTGATGTAGGGGGAGTCGGTGAAGTCGTGCGCCTTCTCGAAGAGCTTCTCGAAGGCGAGGGAGAGCTCCTCGCGCAGGTCCAGGCTTTCGGAGCTGAGGTGCTTCCTGAAGTTGGTGTTGTTCACCATGCGCCCGCCGCCCGCCGCGGAGGGCAGGTTCTTCTCCGACTTCCACAGGTCGTCGTCCAGGAAACTGAAGTAGGCGTCGGAGTTGTTGTTGCCCTCGCCGGAGCCCTCGTAGTAGCTCATCTGGTACTTGTACCGCTTGATGAGATTCACAATGCGCTTTATTGTCGTGTAGATGCTCTCGTTCTCGTAGTTCGGGTTGCTGGCCTGCTTCTCGAAGGGCATGTGCTTGGCCGAGTCGAAGATGCTGTCCTTCACCACGAAGTGGATGAGGTCCATGGCCCTGCGGATCTGGCAGAAGACCGTGTCCCGGTTCTCCTTCACGATCACGCAATCGCTGTGGATCAGACTGTTCTTCGAGGACGTCAGCAGGATGGCGATGGACTTCTCCAGGATCTGGCGGGCTGAAAACATCTGGGCCCGCCGCCGTTCCTCCTTGAACGAGTTGCGGTGGTGGCCAGTGAGGTAGGCCAGCTCAATCATTTCAGTTCCGAACACGGAGAATGCCCGCACGAACTCGGTGAAGTTCATGACCGACTCCAGCTTCTCCAGGCTCTCGGAGGCCCGCTTCTTGGCGGTCAGCAGCTTCTTCACAACTATGATGTCAACCAGGAGTAGGATGCGCGTGACGGAGGACAGCAGCGAGCGGGCCGCCAATATGATGGCTCCATAGTCCTTCAGGGGCTCGATGTGGTGGCGCAGCTCCATGCCGCTTAGAGGTGAAATATCACAAAGTCGTTCAATAGATTTTCCTGCAATCCAATAAAGTGCGTTACGGTTGGTGCGTTGCCAAGTCGGAAAGGATGGCTTCTTACCCGCATCTCTGGCCTCCTTCGCCGCCTCGTACATGTCTCCCTTGATGTCAATGTTCTCCTCGGCGATGATCTCGCCAATCGTTATAAATCGCTCCACGGCAATGTTCAATAGGTGACCTATGTTCCCAAAAGTGGACATGATCTGCTCGTTATCCATATCACGAACTCGAAAGCGTTGATTCTGCAGGGGAAGGAGAGCCCGCATTGGCAGTTGGTTTGGTTTCAAGGCCAATCAATAATCGCAGAGGACTACAACGTAAAGTTATCCCGGACAGCCGGTGGGGTACTTACGTTTACAGTTGATTGAGTGATTCCGTACATCTTGGATACCTCGGTTCCCGATAGAAAAACTGATTATATGTACGTAGTTTCAGAGTATCCGCCAAGCGAGTTTCAGGCATGCAACATTTTTATTTACTTCCTATTGATTTTTCTCAATACTAGGGCTAGCAGAGTCGCGTAGACATTGGAAATAAGTCGAGAATTTGGCACTCAATAATACGGTCACCGATTAGCGCGTCATAGTACGAGGCTCTATAGGTTTAAGCTCCAATAAAAGTCGATTTTTCAGCCAGCGAAAGCTCCCTAGCTTAAATTAGTGTTATATAGCTAGGTGGCTGTAAACAACGTGTTTACCTGCAGACAGATATATGTGTATGCCCCCAGATTTGTGTGTGATTCGAGCTTGTAACAAATTGGTCTGCGCAGGAAGTCTGCGCACAAAACCATATAGTACTGTAAAGTGCAACAGTTCCCCGTCGCTCGGGAGGCGGAACTCGATGGGAGTACCAGGATTCGATGCTTGCTGAGGTGCAAACAAGTCATAGTTGGAGTATGTATTTAGGAAGATGATAAGTAATCCGGAACTCCATCAGAAGAACAACTTTCCTAGCCATAAAATACCAAGAATACCTTATTCTCAAACTTAAAAACCATGTACTCAGATAAAACACTTGAAAAAGTATTTAAGCATATCACACTTTCAAACACGCACACCATATCTTAGGCAATAGCTTGCATAACCAGAAACACTACCTTCTCCCAAAATAAGCTGTATTTTCCATTTCCAGAGTATCAGATTTAATAACTTCCGGTAACGGAAGTTGATTTGTAAAACTAATCAGGAATGACAACCCTAGACAACGGGAGTTCCCCTAACATCAGCCCTTGCACTCGGAGGTGCGCCACCTGGTCACACTGCGCCCCAACGACCATATGATTTTTGCCGAGTATTTTATTTCCAAATGTTGTTACCTAAACACGAGCACGTCAAATTCCTGAGGGCCGCAAACGAAAAACAGCCAAGTATCCAGGATCGGAATACTATTTGAATGGTGTGATCTGCAGACGAGGTAGATCTGTATCGAGGGAAGCCCAGTTCCGTTGAAGGAAGTAGCACACAAAGTCCTTGCAACATGTTGCGAAATTTCGGGATTTCATCAATAAGAAGGAGCAGCTGGATGGCCAACTGGTGCGCCAAGGAGCGGGCGTGGGCGTCCGCCGTGCGGCTAAGTGTGACTGCGCCGGCGAAGTGTCCACAAAAGTTGTTAAACTGCCATGCCGCCGATAACCTCCAGCAAAGTCGAAGGGTCCACGAGAGCACCAATGCGGAGAGGGTGCCCGGTAACCCCAAGGAGAACGAGAGGAAGCCCGAGGACCTGGAAAGGGCCTACGAGGTCCTGAGAACCACGCTGCCAAAGCTGTTCGTGGAGCCCCTGGACTACTCCATTTACAGCCCAGGGCTGATCTTCCACAACAACATTACGGGCAAGCACACTGTGGGCCTGTATCACTACGTCAAACAGATCGCCATCCTGCGGACGGTGGGCCACCTGAAGTACGCCTACGTGAAGTTCGAGGTGCTCAAGATCACGAAGCACCAGGACGACTACACGGTGCGGATACGGTGGCGAGTGCGGGGCATTTCTGGCCTGAAGGTCATGTTCCAGTTCTGGAAGTATAAGCTCTGGCAGCTGAAGGAGGTGCTGAAAGATCAGGAGGCCTGGTACGATGGCTACTCTGTATGCTATCTGGGCGACGACGGTCTGATCGTCAAGCACGTCGTGGACAAAGTGATGCCGGACGAGAGTCGGGAGACGGTTGATAACACTTCAGCGACGGCACTACCTCCCGGATCCTTGGCAGCGACTTCTTCCCAGAAGATCAACTGCCAATGAAGTCGTAGCTAGCTTTAAATGTTACTTATTTATTGTATTACTAATCGTAGTAAACGAAACTGTGAGAACGTTTAGTAACCGCATAGGAGCTTTGTACAACATTCGATATTCAGCCGTCACTGCTTAAACGCGTAGACCGATCCCTTCTTGATATATTTGTATGGCCGTGAACGACTCCGCTTGGCAAAGGCGCTTATGTAAGGCTTCTCCTTGTTGTACTCAATGGTGTTTTGCATGGATCCCTCGGTCTCGAGGAATATATCGAAACTATAGATGGTGCGGAAGAGCTGCGCATACAGGATGTGGTCGTTGGGCTCCAAGTGCTTGGGCTGCAGGGAGTTGGTCCAGAACTCCATCATCTGAAGAGTATAAGTTTAATAGCTAATCGAAGAAAAATAGCTAGGCAAGTTCAAACCTTGATGGCAGAATTGTTTTGCGAGGTATGGCATCCGTTCCAGTGCACATTCAGAATCCAAAGAGGCATCTCCATTGGATAATTACTCGGTATTCTGATGAAGCACTCCATTTTGGCGGAACCCCGGACGATAACAGCGCGGTAAGAGTTGTACGTAATACCCTTGTCGCCTGACGAGGTATTCAGTACGTCTGAAATTTGCGAGTGAAACTCCTCGTGTGTGATGGCAGTCCATTGGACGAGGCTGCACGACAGGCCGGCTGGATAGATGTTCTCCTTCAAGCTATACAAATCAATATCCTTGTAGGTCAGACCGCGAATCTGTTGGCTTAAACGCTGCCACGAGTTCAAGCGCCTGGCAATACGGTCAATGATCTCCTTGGTGTGCTTGTTCAAGTTCAGTTCGTGGTTATAAAGCATCGAACTATTGACGGTTGCAATCGAGCACATACTTTGCAGCCAGCAGAATGGTTTTCCGAAGTCCTTGGCTTTGAGATAGCGCACACATTCTTCAGCTGTTAGGTCCGAGCTTCGGAGCTGGAAGAGCATAATTTGATTTGTTGTCCAGCATTGGAAAACGAAGTTCTTACCTCGTGTTGAATTCCAGGAATGGGTATTTCAGTGCCCAAGTCATTGGGGTACAAGTGCCGCAAAAGGTGGTGCACAAAGTTGGTATCACTGTGAAAAAATAACACATTATTTATGTGATTCTTTCCTTAGTCGGTTCTAAACTTACGGCTGGCTGTTGGAATTGCTGGAGTAGTTCATTTGGCCCCAGACAGTGGCACACTTGATCAAGTCGAAGTAGCGAATCTGCAAAACGAGCTGATTCGATCCGGCGGCTCCAATCTTTAAGGTTTGGGTTGATAAATGATTTGAAACTAGTAAAAACTATATTCCTACCGTCAAGCAAATGTGTAGTGGATGAGAAGCGAGTGCCTCTTCCAGGCTGCTTTTCCCAATCTTATACTGCTCTCCAGTTTCTGTTTCAGGCTGTCTGTGGTTCAATGTGGGATACTTCTTCTCCTTAAGCAACTGCTGCATTTGGGCCTCGCTCTCATAGCCCACCACCTCCGCGGTGAAGGACTGCTCCTCGCTTACCCGCTGCAGGGATTGCAGGACAATGAACAAAACGTAGAGGGGCTTCGGCAGGTACTTGACTACTGCGCTTAGCTTCCATTCCACGTCCAGGGATAGTTGGAGTGCATCGTGCAGCGGTTTTGTGGCGCTCTGCAATGTGCGCAAGGCGGGTGCGAAGGAGACGTACCGCTGAGCGTGGCTAAGATTGTCCTGAAGCAGTTCCTGCTTGGAGCTCAGCAGGGCACTGTACTGCTTGTCTAGTTCCTTTCGCAGGCGCAGCTCGCAGTCGAGGCGATGAAGGTGCTGCTTGTGGCTGGACAACTCCTCCTCGTCGTTGGCCATGTCTGGCAGCTTGCTGGAGTACTCGGCCTCCGACAGAAGCTCCAAGCTGGTGTCCCTGCTCTTGAACTTCTGGCAGCGCACAATCTCCTTTTTCAGGTGGCTCACCTCGTACAGAAGATTCTGCAGCTGCAGCCGGCTGAGGTCCACCTTGCACTTCTCCAGGTGCAGCTTGTCCCGGCCGTCCTTGATCTTGTGCTTCACTTCGCGGTTGGCGTGCTTCAGAGCCACGAACATCAAAGTGGCTGCAGTGCGCGCCTCATCCGTAGATTGTCCCTGCTCGTGAAATGCGGATTAAGAGCTGTGTGCGGCCACGGAAACCGAACTTACCTTGCTCTTCGCCTCCTTAATTCCCTCTATGGCCTTTTGCAGCTCGTCGAACTGCGTGTTTAATATTGTTTCCATTTTATTCGGCGGAATTATAATAGGAAGCCGCAAAAATTATTTTTGCTAACAAAACTAAAATAAAGTGGCCAGACTGTTCGAGCCGATACAACTCGCCGGTACCTTTCAAAATGATTTCAGTATATTTGTATTCCCTGCAGCTGCGGTCACACCTGCAAGCGGCTTTGTAAATATAGTTAAAAAACAAACTATCTCCTTAAATATTTGCTGTAAGCTAACGTAAATCTCTCTGACTTTAATTAACATAATGCTGCGAATGCTCCAGAAGAGAACCAGTCTCATAAAGCTAGTGGTACCCGGCCCCCGACTTCATCAAACGATTGCGCAAACAGCGATAAAGGTATCACAGTGATTACATATAGAAATGTGTTATGTTATAAATAAAGTCATATTTGTTAACGCCCTACCTTGCAGGAAATCCCAGTGATAAAGCCCATCAGTACCCCTAAGAGCGATAAAACCGTCGGAAGATGGTTCCTGGGAGTCAGCGGCATGGTGTTTGTCGCCGTTGGTCTAGGTAACCAATAACTCCATATATAGTTTATAGTTCCTTGCGAAAGTGAATCCTTTCCAGGCGGAGTAACCAGGCTGACAGAGTCCGGACTGTCCATGGTAACTTGGAAGCTGACGGGTGAACGTATGCCGCGAACCCAGGAGGAATGGTTGCAGGAGTTTCATCTCTACCAACAATACCCAGAGTACAAACTGTGAGTACTTTACCAGATTCCTTCAAAGCCCAGAGCCACATGCATAGCTTTGCTTTCAGAAAGAACGTGAATATGACTGTGGAGGAGTTTAAGTTCATCTTTATGATGGAGTACATGCACAGGATGTGGGGACGTGCCATTGGCGGGTTTTTCCTTTTGCCCGCTGTTTACTTTTGGAAAAAAGGATACTTCTGTGCGAAGACCAAGAAAAGCGTCCTGCTGCTGGGCACTCTGATTGGCCTGCAGGGTCTGATGGGGTGGTACATGGTCAAGTCCGGGCTGGAGGACAGGTTCCAGGATCCCAATGATGTGCCACGGGTCTCCCAGTATAGATTGGCGTCCCACCTGGCAGCTGCTTTCGTCCTGTACTCACTCTCCCTGTCGAGGGCCATGTCCCTGCTAATCCCAACCAACACATTCGTGATCCAAGCCAAGAAAGCATTTAATATCAAGGGGCTGACTCATTTGACAAAGGCAATGGTCCTGCTGACTGCCATTTCTGGAGCCTTTGTAGCCGGACTAGACGCCGGACTGGTATACAACTCGTTCCCGAAGATGGGCGACAAGTGGATTCCCGAGGACATGTGGAAGTTTGCGCCCATACAGAAGAACATTACCGAGAATCCGACGACAGTGCAGTTCAACCACCGCATCCTTGGTATTAGCACAGTAACGCTGACCACAGCCCTGTGGCTGGTGACCAGGCGGATGCAGTTGCCCAAGCGCGCCAACTGGGCCATCAACGCCGTGGTGGCCATGGCCTGGACGCAGGCCACGCTTGGAGTAACCACCTTGCTAAACTACGTGCCCGTGCCTTTGGCGACGGCCCACCAGTCAGGTTCGCTTATTCTGCTGAGTTTCGCTTTGTGGTTATCGCACGAAGTTCGACTGTTGAAGTATCTTCCGAAGTAAATAAATAATCGTTTGTTGACCCAAATACAATAGCCTCGCCTTGAAAGGAACAACGATAAGTGGAACAAATGTAATAGCAACAACCGTTTATTCATTCCTATTCAATATTCATTTTCACACTGTTTTTATCTTCCTGCAACTCCTTGTACTCAACACTCTTTGCGTTTAAGCAGGCACCCACACCCTTTACGTTTTCCGAAGACTTGGTGGCCTGGTTAGAGGTGGAAACGTGATTATACACCGCCAGTGCCTGGGCCACGAAGCCATTAACATCCCCAGGATTCGAGGGCAAGATCATGGTGTTATTCGTCTTGGCCAGTTTCTTGAAGGCTCCAATATACTGCTCGGCCAGCGTGAGCGAAGCAGCATTCTGTCCATCCTGAAATGTAGAAAACGAAAACAACGACTTTAAATCAAGAAAGGTAAGAAACTTTAGCTGGTTATAAATATAATTAATCGGAGCTCAAAGAATACGTCGCAATTTTGTCCTCATCTTATGCCTTGGAACAAACTGAGCCCAGAGTTCGGATCCTTCGATGTTTGCTGTTTGGTGAAAACGGTCCAGAAGCGAAGCGTCTCATCTGCGCCGCCAGTCACTATGGATTCGTTGTCCGGGCTCACGGACAGGTGGAGTACCCGCTGCGTGTGCCCGGTCAGCCTGGCCACCTGCTTTAGCGAGGGATAGCGCCAAGCAATGACCTGTGGCTGCGCGTATCCGTGGGTGGTCACCAACTCTCGAGAATCCCTGGCCCAGGCCAGGTTGCTGATCTGCGCGCCAGTGTTAATGCACTGCACCAGCTTTCCGGTGTGCACGTTCCAAAAGCGCAAGCATTGATCGGTGGACCCACCGCCACTGGCCAGAAGCCCGGATTTATGTGGCGACCACCCTAGCGCCTTGACCACTGCCTTGTGCTCGTCGAAGGCGTAAATGGGCTCTGGCCAGTCGTCCGTCCAAACCAACAGGCGGTTGTCGCTGCCACCGCTGGCCAAGTAGCGATTGCTGGGCGACCATTTTAGGCCACAAACCTCCAGCTTGTGTCCGCGCAAGCAGCGGGTTATGTGTGTCGGGGGATTACGGACATCCCGCTGTAAAATGGAGCGGTCGCGGGAGCCACTGGCCAATCGGTTGCCCCGCCATGCTAGCGCAGTTACACGCGCCGAGTGCCCGTCCAGTCGGTTCATCTGCTTCTGCTGCTCGGCATCCCAAATGGTCACGTAGCCGGACTGGGTGCCAATGGCCACCTGACGGCCCTCTCCGTGCCAGCTAACTGCCGTAACCAGGTTGTCCTCATTGTTGAAGTCGCATAGTCGCGTCACCTGGCCACTGACGGCGCTCCAGAGATAAACCGAGCACCCAAGACCAACGGCCAGGGTGTTTTTCGACGACCAGTCAATAAGGTTCAGGTAGAAGTCATCTTGCAGCTCCGGCGCGTCGAGTATCTTGTAGGGCCGACGTGGCAGTCGGCGCACGGGTATTTTGGAGATGCTGAGCAGACGCTGGCTACTCTCGCTGATGTTGGCAAATGGTGTACGCACCGGCGGCGAAGAGCCTTTGGCAAATCCAAAAATACGGTTGTTATGCGGCTGCTTAAATTCCTCTGACTGGGCATGGACTTGTGTGCTCTGCTTGCAGTTCTCCAAGGAAGTGATATTCTCGTCCAGAAACTCGTTGCGTAACAGGCAGGAGTACAAGGAGCTCTCGCACTCACTGGAGTCAACTGGAGCGAGGGCAAAGTTCCGGCTCCACTGATTACCAGCTCGTGTGGGAATGCAGCGTAAATCGAGGTACTCCTTCCTTCCGCCAGCGACGCCCCGAAGCAATCGTTTTTCATACTCCGGTTGAAACATCACCGAAATTGAAATAGTTTGTCGTGTGATGCTTATCAGGGTGTGCACTGATTCCAAAGGGTTTAAGAGGAAATTCCTAGCATTCTACCTAACCGGATTCGAAAGTTTTTGGAGTCTCGGCGAAAAACTTACCAGGTGGGATAGGGATTTTGCTATGGCCAGCAGACTGCGTGCTCTTGCATCCGCCACGGCTATAATGGCAGCCGCCTCTCCGCTGGCCTTGTTGATGTGCTCCTGCCGCTCGGCCTCTGTGGAAGAAGGAACCATGAGTATTGTGTACATTCTGTGAGGAACACTGGCGCTAACCGGAAGCTAGAATTCTGGACTTCCGCTTGCCCTCGGCAATGTTGATTTCGGCCTCACGAACACCCTCTGATTCCAGAATAGCGGCTCGTTTTCGCCTCTCGGCCTCCACTTGCATCTGCATCGCCTCGTGAACCCTGGTGGGCAGCTGAAATGAAAACCTATTCGTTCATCTCTACTTTAGAGTCAACAGAAGGATGTCACCTACTCGGATATCACGGATCTCGTATCGCAAACAAGCGATGCCCCACGCCTCGCTGGCCTTATTGATCGAGTCCACGATGCTGACGTTGAGGGACTCCCTCTCGCGGAAGACCTTGTCCATGGACATCTTGCCCAGCTCCGATCTCATCGTCGTCTGGGCCAGTTGTGTTATTGCGAACTCCGGATCCTCCACGCCGTACGAGGCTTAACGGTGAGGTGATATAACAGATATGGTGACGTGCCGATGCGTATGGATTGGGGACCTACCTTTGTATGGATCAATGATGCGCAAGTAGAGCACGCCGTCGATGCTGAGGGTCACGTTGTCGGAGGTAATAGCACTTTGTTTCGGCACATCTATGGCGATTTCCTTCAGGCTCTGAACATATTTTATTTTGTCCGCCACCGGGACCAGTATATTGAGTCCGGGATCCAGAATCCTATGAAACCGCCCCATGCGCTCCACCACCCAAGCCTTGAAAACGAATCGGATTGGACTGAGCTGCGGGCGACCCTGATCTACCAATGGAACCTACCTCTTGCTGGGGCACAAACATAACACACATGTTTATCGGGGTTGAGGCCTTTCCCCTCCGAGATTGCGACGGAATCCATGAGCCGGCGAGCAGGAAGTCTTGCTGCAAGTACGGATATTAACGGCCCGTTAACCCATCGCACGGATTTTGAAGGTTCCGGAACGTACCTGGGCCAAACTGGGAACGAATCTTTTGTTCAAAAGAAATCTCGACATTTCGCAATATATGTGCCGATTTTACGAGTCGAAAAATACTAAGAAGAAAACATTATGATAGTCGGGAAACAGGGTGCCTCATGTCCCATTTGCGTGCAAATCGATTAATTTTTTCGTTGGGGGTATCTAAAACGGGTAAATTTTTGGAACTCTTCGAATCGGAAGAGTTGATCTCGAATATGTCTTTTAATTGAAATAAAATATTGCTGTGGCAAGTGACAGGAAGTTAAGAGCAACCACATAATAATTGTTTCTAATTCTGGTTGGACTTGGCAACCAGATTTATAGTGAATATATCCTCGCTATAAAATCAAGCGCAAATTTTAAAATATTTCACCCTCTATACATTTCGTCAGCGCCAACCAAGACCGCTTCCAGATGAAATGGATTCGCGGTTAACTCAATTAACCGGGAAACGGCAAACGCAACAGACAGACACAGGGACCTTTATGTTGTCGTACCAATGAAAATTAAATCTAATAATCGAACATATGTCCGAGTGCACGCATGTTTGCTGAAATCTTGACACTCTCACTCTGTTTGTGGGAGTACTTACCATTAGTGGCTAGAAATATGGTGCAAGTGACGCATTAAGAGCATCAAGGAGACCGCACTAGCCCACCCAGCCCACGGCCATCGCCATCGCCACAGCCATAGAGCCACTAAGCCGTTAATAACGGGTGCGTTCCTGCGGTCTTTTAGCTGTCGTCGGTTATCTGCATCATAAATTTGCCATCACCCTGTTTAAGTCAGAGGATGTTTGCTCCGAATCGGGTATAAAACGAACTGCGGCGCGGCATAGCGGCACAGTCGTCTTCAAATCCCGGCGAGAATCGTTTCCAAGTGCACCAGGCTAACGGTCAACGACTGGAATCATGAATCTATATGTTCTTCTGGTGGTGGTGTCGGTGTTCCTGCACTTCATTCAAGCAGCGCCCAGTGTGGTACGTACATCGAGTGGGTTTTTGAAGTGTTTTCGAAGAATAACCAGCGGAAAGCCACGGTGCTCGTGTAACCGGACTACAATTACTATAGCTAACTATGTTTTAGGATATTTCCAACGACGAACTGCTGGATGGAAAATATCTTTGTGAAGGTAACGAGACAAACTGCGATTTTCCAACAAGCATTGAAAAACGTCGAAATGCTTTATACTCGAACTTTAAAATTAGCTTAACCAACAGCTTAGCTTATGTACAAAGCCATTAATATCCTAATTTCTTATTATTTCGATTAGATTTTCCAGCGTTAAGAGAGTTGTGTAACGGATACAGCGCGAGTTTCCGACAAACTGGATTTCCAAACGACGACCTTTCCACATCGCCGTTGTTTAACGACTTTTACAAACTCTTCCAACGAAATGTAAATATTTTTCTGTCCAAAAACAAGAGCCCCGAGTCCTTGCAAGAGCGCTTCTCGAGAACAGTTTCGAAACGCGGCTTAGACAGCATTGGTGGCGGCCACTTGATAAAGCGGACGCCACTTGACAGACAGCTCCTAAGCGACTAGAAATGATTGAATGACAATCCCAACTTCGCACCACTCCATTGACTTTGACAATATCGATGACCGAAATGAAACTGAAGTGTAAATAAGCATGGTCTTTCTTTAAATATGCGCATATGAAATGTTGTTAATAAATTATTGCATTTGTAAAGAGTTTTACTTTCACCCTCGTAGTGTACTAACCAGAAGAGAGTTCTGTAAATACCTAAGTCTACCCACAGCACCTTGACTTGCACTAATCATTTACTACCGCAAACACATGCTGCCCCAAAAAGCTGGCTCCAAGAAGTACGATGGACCTTTCATAGTAAGGTGAGTGAGTCTAATACAGTAGTACCCGTACAGTAGTACGTTCAACAGTGGCACGTGAATGCCCGTCGTGCGACACGCTTATCAGATATCTGGGACTGTGCTGCTGCTATCAGGTCTTATCCGAATGTTATCGAAATGGGTGCTATATATAAAGTATGTAAATATGCAGATAGCAGATCCGCTTAATACGAGGCTATCCCAGCAGCTTGCCTGCTATTTACTATTACTCACTGAAACTAATCCCCAATCACTGAAACATATGTCCTGATCCCCAGATTGATTTCGGCTGCAAATGGACAAACGGTCGTCTGCTACGAGTGCAGCCAGTCGGACTTCAAGGCGAAGTCCTCCGTGAAGTCGTGCGGGGATCGCTTCGCGCCCGGCAAGATCGGGTCCGGCCACCACCGGGACCTGGTGCCCTACCTGGTGAGGATGGACCCCCTGTACAAGGACACCTGGAGCAGTAAGCTCAAGCGCAACTTCGACGAGATCGACAAGGCCTCCGCCAGCTTCAGCATCCTCAACCAACTCGTCTAGTGATACCTGCGACAGCACCTAAATGCAATTGCAAACGCAAATGTAAATGCCCACGGATACGGATTGTAATAGCGGAAATACTCTAAAATGCTTCATGTCAAGGGACTATAGAAAATAAAGGAGGTGCATCCTGATACAATACATTCTGAAATAATTGAAACGAGCGTGTCTGTTATTAACATGTTTATTTATTATTCTTTAATGTTGAGTTTTGTGAAAGGTCATACCAGATCTAAATGCAGCGAATTTTTTGTTTTAATCAAGGGACTATTTAAATACAAATTACATTTGATAATTATATTTAAAACAGTAAGTCATTAATATTTTTATTTACTTGCATTACGGCGATGGGGATAACCTATAACAATTCATATTGACGAAGGTGCATCCTTTGAATAATGTCTCTGCAATCATTAAACACACGTTTAATGTTTTCTGTGTCAACGGCGCATGTGAAATGTGGATAGCAGTAGTGTTTTCCGTCTCCGCTAGCGGTAGATATACGCTATATAGGAAAGAGATCCATTAGGTTGGATAGTTGGGCTAAGAAGCGAGATATAACCCACCAGAAACTCGTCTCGTATGAAATATTTTGCTCGTATTACTTCTGGGTCGTCATTGGATTCCATTATTGCGTCACCTGTGTCGACAGCACATTTGAAATTAGACAAAAACACATTATCCATTAAATTTCTTAAGTTAACTTGGGCATGATTTTCGAATTTGAAGGAATTTTCTGGGCCAGATCTGATGAGTCCCTCGCCGACTTACAGTTGCCAAAAGATCTGAATGCAACTATGGGTTATACTATTTTACTTACTTGGCGTTTGGTATTTGTTAAACTCGGAGAAATATTCCGACAATTTACTTTTTCCAGCCTTAATTTTCTCTGCTAACAAATCTTGCTTATTTAAAAATAGTATAATAGAAATCGTGCGAAGCCATCTGGAAGATGAAAGATATTTAGTTTCGAGACCTCAATATTGGCCCAAGTTGCAAGGTTCACCTGTTGTTCCAAATACTCTTGAACAAATCCAAAGATTCTCGAAGTCGATTTTGGGTGGGATCTTCCCGCAAAACCATGTTATAACTTGAGCACGCAGTTACGAATATAATAGCAGTTACATCATTGAAACACTGAATCCATTTCCTACGCTCGTCTCGCTGTCCTCCAACATCAAACATGCTGCACAGGAATATACATCAGTTCTAGAATAGATCTAGAATATCAACGGCCGGGCCACACTTACTGAAAGTTTACTTTGTCCACTTGAAATCTTGTTTCAAATATTCCAGAAGTCAAAACACGGCACCGAAGAATATCCTGCTCATTAGGGGTGTAGTTTGGATTCTTGATTGTGCTCACTCGGTCCAGGAAGCTTCAAAGCGGAATATCAAGTGTATAAATAAGTAATAGCTTCTACTGGCTTAAATACAAGTACAAATGCGGCTTAACTAGATTTCAGCTAGCATACACTACTGAAACTTGATGTCTAATATATTGTTTCCTGGGGAAATTAAGCCAAAATCCTTTTCAACTTGGAGGAGTCAAAACTGTGAACACTATCTGAATGCCATGTGCGAGTGCACTTATTAGCAACGAAACCATTTGATTCGACTACGAAATCCTTTTACAACTCCATAATACTTCTACATTCAGGCAAAAAGGTATTGGTGGTGGTTCTATTTCCAGATAGCCATACTGCAGCAAAGCAACAATATTCGAGGACTACTTCATCAAGCGGGTTACTTTTAGAATTAAGAGTTGCATACTTTCGATCCAACGAATTTCTGCACTTCCAAGAGAAACACACAGTTAAGCTTTCAGAACAATTGGCATGCACTCCGTGGTTAATAAACAATTAAAACTGTTTGTATTGCTACAGAAACTATTCGTTTGGCTGAACACACCGACTTTAGAATGTCAAATGTAAGGGGCAGTACTTACTATTTCGCACAATCGATTAATTGATACTCATTCGACCTCTCATAGGTTTGAAGAACGCCCTTGTCTTTCCATAGTTCTTCTGTATGTTCATAAAATTCAGGAGGATAATTAAAGTCCGGACCTGTGGAGCGAGGAGAGGAGTGTTAAGTGTACATTAAGCTGGGGCGCGCAGAGCCACTTACTAGATGCATAATCCTGAATGTACTCCACTCTGGGTTCATTTTCCTTCTTTTCTAAAGCTACAGGTGGATTAAGTGTGCTCATGGCTCCTGTAATAGTCTGCAATGTTGGGAATGTTAGACGAGTTTAGCAAATTTAGCAAGTTCTTGACGCAAAGGGCTGGCAGGGAACTCACCAAGATAGCGTCTCGAATATTCTTTTTAATATCATCAATTTTCTGTTTCTTCTCCGAGTCAGAAAATCCGTCGACATGCAATATTCGCATTTGCTTGACTATAGTTGATTTGCCGGACTCGCCCGCCCCCAGGAGGAGCAGCCTGTGTGTGGCCCTGTAGAGCTGTTTGTCCTTCTGCAACTGTCTAGATATTGCATCGCTCCGGCGCTTCTGGCTCTTCGAGTCCTCCGAGTTCACGTCCGACTGCTTGGACGTGGGCGACCCAAAGCAACCCATCGCAGCCCACGGGGTCCACCAACACGTCGCTCGGTTTTCCTGGTTCGCGTCGGGCGACTCGGCACCCCTTGTGCTTTCTCCGTTCTGCTCCAGTATAGCTGAGTGCTCGGGTTCCTCGGATCTAACCACAATCCCTTGTGTGCTCGTCGGTCTCCGGTCTCCGATCTCCGATCTCAGTGGCACCACCGTTGGCGTTGGCTCAGCGCTTCAGTGGATCTCCGCAGCAGGCTGGATTCGGTGGTATAGTAGATGGAACAATGAGTAATAGATAACAAGGTACGTGCACCAAAACCAACTAACGTTTGGTGGTTACATAGTTTCCTATTCCCACTTTGCCCCCCTAACTGGGCTGTTCCAGCAGAAACCCATTTTGATTGCATAAAACCCAAAGCACCATCCGCAGGTGAGCCGCCGCTCCAAGGGATCCCGAACCCACTTCAGAGCCCCTATATCATCTGCGCGTGTACGCGTGTGTAGCGCCCCAAATTGGGTGCCTAAGCCAAGGCGACGCTGCTGACATTGCCGCCCACGAAAGTCCCGTGAGTCACTGGGTTTCGGGTCCCAAAACCGCTGGCATAGCATCGGAATCGGCATCGGCATCGGAATGAAAATCAAAATCAAAATCAAAAATTACTCCACGCAGCGCGCGTACATTCGCGTTGGGTGATTGGAATTCATCACATTCATATTCACATCCATATTCACAGGCACATTCACAGCGACATTCACATTCACATTCACATCGACATCCACAACATCGGCGTAGTGTAACAGGTGAAGAAGGGGGCGGAGAGGGTGGAACTCTCGCGCATACTGGGCAGCAGGTACGCATGTATATAGAGATACCAACCCAACATAATTCCATCTGCAGTCGAGGCTCGAATGGAAGGGCCCGGATACGCGGATTCGATTAGCTTTGGCTCGAATGTGGACCTACGGTCTACTCTGTGCCTGTGCCTGTGCACGGAGGAGTGTGGGCACGCGTATATTAAGAGTATTTAATCTAGCAATTATTGCCGACCGACGGGAGTCGCAGGAAGATATGTACATATGTATTGGCTATACCCTATATATGGCATGTGGGCATATAGGCGGAGGGGGCGGTGGCAGAAATGGCAGATATGGCAGATATGCAGATTTTAATGTAAATATATGTACATAAATTCATCGGAATCGGAATCGGGATCTAAGCGGGCACGGGCACATATATATCTCACAGATATGAGTACACACCGTTGTGTATCTACTCGTATATACGTGCGTATGTATTTAGATATATACACAAGTTCTCGGTTCGCATGTGTGAATGGATGTACATAAATAAATGTATGTACATATATCAATACGTAGTGCTCCGTGCCTCCGAATCCGAATATTTGCCATTTCTTTGACACTTGGTTAGAAAAACTATATTATACCTATACCATCGCGAATCGGATCGAATCGAATCGAGTCGAATGGAATGGAATCGCATCGCATCGCAACGCAGCGCATCTGCTTGGATTGGTTTGGATTGGAAGGAATTCGATTCGATGGATGGGATTGTATTTTGGATATTCATGCGCGAACGATTTTTCACTGATTTCAGGTTTAAGGACATGGGACGCAGGTCGCAGGACGCAGGACGTCCGAAAATCGGGAGCTCGCTCGAGATCGAGGGGCTACGGGGGCGAATCACATCTCTGCGCGATGGCAATTACGTGTGCGAACGCGACTATTCCCTGCGTTCGACAATGGTTATTGTTTACCGTGAAATTACCGAACATTTTTATTCATGGGAGCAACTTCGGGCCAAGACTATAGGTGCACGACTCGGTTGGGAGCGACTTTTGGGGTCTGAAAAACTGGCAATTCTATCGCACCCGACGCGCCAGCCACTGTTTTCCGGATTCCCAGTGTTCTTAGTCTCTGCGTGCTCGCAATTCATCAATTTGTAGCTTAAAAATTACTTTTAATACCAGTACTAACTCACTTTTTATATATTTTTTATTTTATGTATCAACCTAGGGATGCAACGAAGTAGATACTTTTATCGATAGTCAGCCCGTCTATCGGATAGTGCGGGCGCAGATGTAGATAGATATACTACTGGGGCAAAAGCGCCTATGCAAAATGATGAAGTGCTATTTAGGTTCTTTAGAAAACCACCATAATTTATAGAATAGAGCATGCCGAACTATGCAGAATAGTAAATCTCAGGAACACCCGTCCGATACTTTACATGACCAGGCCCTCTACAGGCTTACATATTTATTTTACACGGTTGTGTAGAAAACCAGTTTGAAGTTTTTTTTTGATAAGGTATCAAACGTATCTTTATCTGTGATATAATTTGCATATTTTGTTTATTTTGTTAGACGTTTAGTATTCATTATTACTATCCCTATCTGCAACGAGTAATCATACGATATATATATATTTACATATATACATTTATATATACATATATGTACATATATATATATATATATATATATGTATTAAATATAACACAAATATCTATCTCATTCAATAATTTCCATTACTCTCACGTGAAATCAGTCATCTGTTTTAACTGTAGTGTTTATTAAAGTATAAAATCATTGTCTTTTAAGAAACGAATGCCTTCATCCTCCACCTGCTAGCGGATCCAGAGGAACATCTACTTAAGATAGGTCTTAATTAAATTCTCCAGCTTAACAGTATCCACGGCGAACTTCCTGATGCCCTCGGACAGTTTGTCGGTGGCCATGGCGTCCTCGTTGAGCAGCCAGCGGAATCGGCTCTCGTCGACGGTGATCTTCTCGATGTCCTGCAGCTTGGCGTTGCTCACGGACAGGTAGGTGACGACCGACTCGGTCTCGTTCTCCAGCTCCTTGAGCAGCGATGGGCTGATGGTGAGCAGATCGCAGCCAGCCAGGGCCTTGATTTCGCCCACGTTCCGGAAGGAGGCGCCCATGACCAGGGTCTTGTAGCCGAACTTCTTGTAGTAGTTGTAGATGTTGGTCACGGAGATTACGCCCGGGTCCTTGAGGGCCTCGAACTTCTTGGTTTCCGTGTTGGCCACGTACCAGTCCAGGATGCGGCCCACGAATGGCGAGATGAGGGTCACGCCCGCCTCGGCGCAGGCCACGGCCTGTGCAAACGAGAAGAGGAGCGTCAGGTTGCAGTGCACGCCGTGCTCGTTCTCCAGGATCTCGGCCGCCTTGATGCCCTCCCAGGTGGAGGCCAGCTTGATCAGGATGCGCTCCTTGTCGACGCCCAGGGATTTGTACAAGCCAATGAGCTTCAGTGCCTTCTCCACGCTCTTCTTGGTATCGAAGGACAGGCGGGCATCGATCTCGGTGGAAACGCGACCGGGGACAACCTTCAGGATTTCCGTTCCGAACAGCACGCACAGGTAGTCCATGGCCTCGGCCACCTGCTCACTCACGGAGCTGGAAACGAGCTTATTTTATGTAGCTCTGTGTGGCGAACACCCAAGTGAACTGCTTACCCCTTCTTGCCCTTGGCGTACTCCACCGCCTTTTGGACCAGCGGCTGGTACCGCTCCATGGATGAAGCGGACAAGATGAGCGACGGATTGGTCGTGGCATCCGTGGGCTTGTAGATGTTGATAGCTGGAAGCAATATGTAAGGTATTTGCATAAGTGCGGGGCCAAATTACATTGCGAATTCTAGAAAGACCTCGAAACCTGTTGAGCGACTTTCATTTTTCAATCGCCCGACCGAAAATATCATCGAACTTTTCAGATGTCTAAGCAGGTTTGGCACTCCGATCCGAAACCTTATCTCTGTGACACTCTATAGTATACTTTACTATAGCGGTCAAATTTCTAACACACGTAAGCACCTAAGGTCAAACTAAAGTCAGCTCGGCTTTGCTTTTCACTTTTATTTGATCTTCACTGCGGCAGACACGACGCATCCGATGGCCCATCGTTCATGTTTATCTTTTGGATAAATCCATGTATCCTATGTATCTTTGGATTTGCACTGTATGTATATCTGATTGTTTATATGTCTCCGAGCTCAGATCCACAAACAAACGAACATGCGGTTGCATTTCTAAACTTCCAAATTGGGGACAAGCTTACGTTTGCTTTGAAATCTCACTTATCTTGCTTAGAGATATATCTTTTACCATGAGTGCGTACTTACCTTCAAAGTCGCCGGTGTCAGCCACAATGGTGGTGATTTTCTTGAGTTCCTGTAGTACCGACATCTTTTGCTTTTTCAACGTGCGATCACTTCCCATTTCCCAACTTCAATGCAATAAGACCGCCACTGGAGCGGCAATTTATACCGCCGGCTCTGGAAAAATACCGAACAGCCCCAACTTGGGGTTAGGAATAGGTATTGGGGGGATTCCTGCAAATTAACCAGCCTTAAACCAAACTTAAAATTAAACAGTGGTGATGACAGCAATTAAGCTAATCTAAGGTGAAAAAGTGCATCTTTGAACCAGACTTTCATAGTTAAAACTAGGCAAACGTATTCAATAGAACCTATCTACGGGAAATCAATTCATTAATGGTCACCAACTGGGATTTATGTTCGCTTCAAATCTGAAAAGCAACCATTTTGACTCGTTAAATTCAATTTCTTAGTCAATTTTTGGATTTGTGGTACTATTTTATGTCTATATTTGGAATATTAAAATTAATGACTATATAAGGATTAAATTAATTTTCTTTAACGGCTGTTTGGCTGTCAATTCACCACACGCCATCTCTACGAGCTATCGATATGTCTATCGGGGATTCCTCAATCAAACCATATGTTTGTTGATCCACACGTGTGTGCGAAAGATACTAGTAACAAACATTTTAAAATGAAACAAAAACACTCGAAGAACAGGGCGAAACCCTACAAGAAACCAACTCCCGCCCGTCGAAATGAGAAATTCTCGAAGAACTACAGCTTCATTCAGAGAAGCAAGCAAATGGAAGAGTCCCACCGCAGGGAACGGATGCCCACAGCACCGAAACAGGAATATGAGCCCGTGGCAGAGCTGCTGCCGGAGATCCAGGACGAGGTGGACGAGACTGGGTTCTATGAACAGCTCGTAACTGGTTTTAATAACATACCCACAAGTAGCCATCCTAATGATCAATAAATGTATCCCTGACTAACTAAGAGTCTCGCTTTCAGATGATATTTTAAGCTCAAAAGCGGAGGAGGAAGAGGATCACGTTATTCCCGTGCCCAGAAAGATCAAACCCAAAAAGGAAAAGCGTTCCGAGAAGCTAAGTGTCGACTTGGAAACATACAATTCGTTTTCGAAACGCTTCGATTTCGAGCTGTCCACGGACAATATCAACGATTTGATTGCGAGAAAGGACGTTAAAGCAATCAAGAGCAACTGGTCTGGTCTGGGGAATGTAAGGTTCGATATACCAAGATTGGCTGACGACTTCAAGGAGCCAGACTGCAGTGAGCCCAAGGACATTGCGAGTTCGGGAGATCTACAAAAGTTGGAGGTGAAGGCGTCCATTTGTGGAAACGCCAAGCTGCCACTCACCGCCCTGCAGTCCCAACTCTTTTACATCGCCAATAACTACCAGGATGTATACTATCCCCACCGAACACATGGTAACGCCGAGGATATTCGCTATGTGTACTGTCTGCACGCCCTGAACCACATGCTGAAAGTCAGATCCCTGATATTGCGCAATAACGAAAAGGTTTCGGCGTTGGCCAAGTCACAAAAAATGTCGCCCAACGAAATCTCTATACCAGAGAGCTTCAGGGATCAAGGGCTCAAGCGGATGAAGGTGGTTTTTGTAGTGCCCTTCAGGGAATCGGCTCTAAGGATCGTAAATATAATTGGAGATCTACTCTTTGGCAGTCAAGATGGTAGGAAACCTGTTGACAGCAGAAAAACTGAATAACCAATCATTGTCCTTTACAGATCAGGCCAGGAAAACCTCGATCGCGAACTATGAACGCTTTCTGGGAGATTACTCCGGGAATACGATTTATTTCCCGAAAACCAACCCAAAGCCGGTGGATTATGAGCAGACTTTCAGTGGCAACACGGATGACAACTTCAAACTAGGTATTCGTTTTACCAAGAAAACCATGTCCCTGTTCTCCGATATGAACTCATCAGACATGTTGATCGCGTCTCCTTTGGGACTGAGAATGCTGGTTACGGACAAGGAGAGCGATTTTGACTTTTTGAACTCCATTGAACTGCTGATCATCGACCAAGCCGAATTGTTCCTGGCACAGAACTGGGAGAACCTCCTACACTCCCTGGACCACCTTCATCTGCAGCCTCAGAAGCTGCCCGATACGAATTGCCAGAGGGTGCGAACTTGGTGCCTGAGTGGAGCGTCGAGTTTCTACCGCCAAACCCTGTTCTTCTCGTCCCACGAGCTGCCGGAGTTCCGGGCAGTGCTTAACAGCAAGTGTAACAACTACCAAGGAAAGGCGCGAGTCTCCAACCTGGTCGAGAACGGAGACATCAGGAACGTTCTGACCCCAATACAGCAGGTCTTCCGCCAAATCACTTGCTCCAGTGTTGAGTCGACTTTCGACGACCGGTTCCAGTATTTCGTCAAGAATATTATGCCCCAATTCAGTAAGCCCGGCTTCTCGCACTGCATGCTCTACGTGCCCAGCTACTTCGACTACGTCCGGATACGCAACCATTTCAAAACCGAAATGGTCAGCTTTGTTCAGATAAATGAGTATACCAAGAAAGAAAAGATTTCCCGGGCGAGAGATATATTCTTCCACAGCGGAGCATCTGTGCTATTGTACTCGGAAAGAGCACACTTTTTCCGGCGCACCAGGATTAAGGGCATCCGGAACTTGATCATGTACCAGCCGCCCAACTTTCCGCACTTCTATTCCGAGATGATCAATCTGATGCTGGAATCGAATCAAAATCCGCGCGATGGATTCGGGGACGCAATGTCCGTCAGTATCCTGTATACCAAGTACGATCTGCTAAGCTTAAGTAACATTGTGGGAAGCGAGAATGCTGTGAAATTGACCTCGGGCAAAAAAGATTCCTACCTTTTCTCCACCAAAACGTAAATGCTTTCAGAGCAGACTTTGAAAAATG